TGCGGGGGACCCCGCCTGGACGCAGGCGCTCGGGGAGTCCGGAGGAGTGGGCGGGGCCGGCGCGTGCCCCCCCGCCCCGCGCCGGCTAACGGACTTTCTTTCTCGCGCCTCCGCGCACGCGCGCCTGCGCAGTGCGCGCGCTCGTGCCGCCCTCGGGGAGAAAGGGCGCCTCTCCGCCTCCGCGCCGTGAGGGGAGGATGGGACCTGCGGTGCGGGCGGCCCTCGAGCGAGGAGCGCGAAGTGGTGGGTAGAGGCCTGTGCTCCTCCCTGCGCGGTGGGCCGGGCCGAGAAAGAGGAACGGCCGAAGCCCCCCAGCCGGCATCGCCCCGCTGCTCTACCCACTGGGCAGCACTGCTTCACACACCTGCCAAGTGCGGTGTGTCGGGGATGCAGGAGAAAGTCACCCAACGAAGTGGGTGTTTGGGCAGAAACCATCACCCTCATCCTACAATTCCCAGCTTTCTCTGGCCAGACAAAAAAAGTCTTACAAGATCCAGCATGGCTGGGAAAAACTGGGAATTGTAGGATCATGGTTAATAACCTTTTTTTCTGTCTGAACATGCATAGGATGGTAGGACTGTTTCCTGTATAAATGTGCATAGGATTGTAAGACTCTTTTCCTAACAGGCCTAGAATTACACCTTTCATTATTTTAACATGATTGTGACTTTCTGTTAAAAAGCCTCAGGACAGTTTTCCCCAAAACAAAATCCCCTAAAATACTGGGTTTGGTAACCATGGTGTGTCTTCTCTAAATGGCCCTGCAAATTTAAGAAGCTACAGACAGAGATTCTAAGGTAGGAGACCCTCTGGATATTTTCGTGTGGAACGCCTCTGCCTTTTGGCCATGCTGGCTAATGCTGATGGGAGATGTAGTCCAAAACTTCTGGAAGCCTCTGGAGTCATTCATCCTGTTTTCCAGAGCAGGCAGCCAGAATTTTTTTTTTTTTAAGAATGAAAGCAGTGCAACCTTAGGCGTGTCTACTCAGAAATAAGTCCCCTTGAATTGCTGAGGCTTATGCTCAGAAAAGTGAATCTGTAGCTTACTGTTTTATCTCATGCTTCCTGCAGGGCACAGTGCGCAGTGTACACGGTGTGTTGAATTCAATGGGTCTGACCAGGTAAGCATACACAAAATTCTGACTTCATCCCACCCTTCCCCCAAAGCACTCCATGTGCAGTATACCATGGTGCATCGCACCCACCTTCTTGCACACACACGCCGTTTTGTCCTCACAACACTCTGTGAATGTGTGTGCACATGTGTGTGTGACTAGTCCTCAAGGTCACTCAGGAAGTTTTCTGGCTGAACAGGCTGTATCTTTGGAAACCCAAAGCGAGACTTGCAATAAACACTCCTGCCCCACTTCTGGTTTTTCCCCCCAGACAACTGGTACTGACTTGCCATGGCTAATAGCCAACAGAATGTCACAAAAGGTTTTTAAAGCCACACATGGCAGTGACCTTTGCCACATTCTAGGATAGTGCGTAAAGCAGTTGGGGATTGCATGGGCATGTTTTTCTAGGTCTGCTATCCGCCAGCATTCTGAAGTAGAAACCAAGGTTCTGCTTAGCCAGAGGGCCCCAATTCCACCAGCCTACCATATTTTGAGGGACTGCAGGTGGCGCAGTGGTTTAAACCGCTGTGCTGCTGGGCTGGTTGATCGAAAGGTCTCCGGTTCGAATCTGCACAACGGGGCGAGTTCCCGTTGCTCCATCCCAGCTCCTGCCAACCTTGCAGTTCGAAAGCATCCAAATGCGAGTAGATAAAAAGGTGCCACTTCGGTGGGAAGGTAACAGCGTTCAGTGTACCTCGGTGTTTAGTCATGCCGACGTGATGTTCAAAGGGAAACCTTTACCTTTACCTTACCATATTTTGAAAGAATAGGTGCTCTGCACATCCCCATCTAAAAGGCATTCCTCTAAGACAACTCCAGAGTCTAAAATGACCTAAATACACTCTTCCTTTTACCTTACCATATTTTGAAAGAATAGGTGCTCTTCACATCCCCATCTAAAAGGCATTCCTCTAAGACAACTCCAGAGTCTAAAATGACCTAAATGCACTCTTCCTTTTGTCTATCCTACACATCCATTTCATTGTGTGACTACAAATTTTAGATTTACAGGAGAGAGAAAAGTACACGATTAAAACTCAGTGTGTTCTTCCAGCCAAAGTTTCCCCTCACATAATCCCCTCAAGGATCTTCCCTTGGACCCATTCTTGCTCTCCACACCCCCTATGTGGCTGAATCTGCCAAATCCCATGACAATATTTCTGTAGCAAGAGTTCCACTTTTCATTCTTCAATTGAGGTGCATAATATGTTCTGCCCACAAAATATGTGAATGTTGTTGATGCGGAATGTTTCAACATCTTGACTACACTTTCAAGTTTGCTTTGTGTTTCTTTTTTTGTTTTGTTTTGGTGGTGTGTTGTTTCCAAAAAAGTATATATTTGACTAATGCAATTCTAAGAATGCCTTTAGACAAAATATTGCACTTTCCCTCAAGTTTTTTTCTTACTTTCCCAATCCGCAACAAACAGCAAGCTTGGCCTTGGCAAGAAAGGCATAAACATTTTATTCTGACCGACAAAGAGTATCTGATCATGATATATAAATAGAGTTGCTCTATTTCATCCTCCCGTTTACTTAGATATGTAGTTTATTTAAAATTCATTCATAGACAATTTAACATGCTTTTCCAAATAAAAGGAAATTGCAGTCACAGGCAAAAGGGTGTGTTCCTTCCAATACAGAAACATCAAATGAATACAATTAATGATAAACGAGCAAAGCTTAAGTATCATTCACAAGCATCGTTGGTCAAATGTTCAAAATTATATTTAAAAACATTGCAGCCTTTTGCATAGCGTTGTCATTATTTGCTTCTGGCCCTATTCAAAGTGGCACCATATCTGAATGAGGAGGACAGAATGCAAAAATTGGCAGAGCTTGCAGTCCCTAGGTCTACTTAAGCAGGAAAAAGAGGCCAGGCACTCTGGGAACTGGGGGCCTTTTTTTTCTGCACTCTGATTCAAATTTGCACCCCCCCCCATAAAAGTTACAATAAAATCTCAAATGGATCAATATTTCAATAGCCCCAAAATCCTTACAGCCAACCCTTAAAGCAATAGGTATTCCCTACCCGGTCCCATTGAACAGTGTCGCCTTAAACTTGATGAATGTGGAACCGCTCAGCTGCAATTGGAAGACTCCAGCAAAACAGCAAAGCCAGGGAAATGCTTTTTAAAAGCCTGGTTTTCTGCTAAGATTGTTTTAAGAGGAAGGAAAAAGCCGTTAAGAATTTTGGTTTCTGCCGATACCTTGTGAACATTACATGCCTCTGATTAGCATGGGCAAGATTCCTGTTTGCTCCGCTAGCCAGAAAAATTGGCCATTAAGGGAGTAAATGTGGTTAGCATCCGATCTACCCTTTTATGCCTGCTTTCAGCTCCGTCAGCTGATGGCAATCTCTGCCCTTCCGTTGTTTTCCCCCAGCCCAATGGCAGAAAGCACACAAACAAGATGCCGAAGGACAACACATCTGCAGGCTCTGAGATCTCCATTTCATGCTGAATTAAGTATAAAATGAAGCCGATTAGCCACAGACATTGCCCATTGTGCTCCTGTTTGCCAGCCAGGTTGCCCGGCCTCGCTTTTTGATTGCTTTTACGGGCTTTCATTGCAAAAGGTCATTCCATTAATAAAGTAGCACAGCTCCCTGGCTAAAGATTCCTTGTCATGTTTTTCTATTTAGCTGCCAGCTCTGTCTTGCATTTGCAGGGCAACATTGTAGACCTAATCTTCGACAACCTCCATTTTGGGGCTGGAAGGGGTGGGGAGCCCATCATCTCTTTATTAATCTGCCTTATGCAGCATATGGTAACTAAAGAAGATGTAAGGCCACCTTAATATCTGTAACAGATTTGGTCTGACATTAGGAAAAAGCAGTTAAGTATCAGAAGACAAAAAGGTGTGACCCGAGGCTATAATAAGGAGTGGAGGGGGGGAGTGGGCTTCACTTGAACGGGCTGACTTGGCCGTCCTTGCATACGGCTGCCTGACTTATGGCTACCCCTGAATGGATGCCCTCCAAAATGGCCACTCAGCCCTTGCAAACTAAATCCGGCTCACGCTTGGTCTCCCTCTTCTCCTCTTGAGACTTTCCCTAACACAACTGTCTTCTCCAGTGAGTCTTGTTTTCTCACGGTGTGCCTGTGGCCCACCAGCATCAGCTGCATCATGTTCGCTTCTGGGGAAAGCGCTGGCTTGAGTCGATTTGGGACCCACTTGCCTGTCTGTCTCTCCGTCCAAGGTCTTTGCAAAGCTCTGCTCCAGTGGGATGTTTTGAAGGCATCCGTTTTCTTCCCGTCAGCTTTCCCACACATGCGTACGATAGCGTGAGTGAGCTTGGCCTTGGTCTTTCCGAAATGCCCTTGTATTTGAGGATCCTTAACAAGCCCTTTCATCACTCCCTTCCCAAGTCTCAGGCTTTTCTACTTTCTTGGCTTCAGCCCCAAAGGCCACCTTTCAGGTACAGTTCTGGGCGTGGGAGTGTAACATGTTCACAAGCCATGGTTTGGAACAGAGGTCAGCAACAAAGGGCCCTTGTCAAATTTAACTTTCCGCCCAGAAGGTCACCCAAGGCCACATTCTCTCTGGAGCCCTCCTCCTTCCCCCAGCCGCCAATCGTTTGGTGGTTTCCTGGGGTCTGTACAGTTTCCCCCACCTGCCCTTGTTCTAAACGACTGAAATGCCTTTCCTGAAGCCTAATTACTGGCAGGAAGAGCTTGAAGCGAAAGCGTTCCAGTATTTCTGACCCCCTCCTTTCACCCCCAGTCCGGCTCCCTTTGCTGTCAGCCCTACTTGCTACTGGAATACGGCCACCAAGAGCTTCTTGGAAATTGCGCTTCACCCCTCAGGGTGGAAGAAGTTCCATCCACGGGCAATATTCACCGTTTCCTGTTGCCTAGTAGGGGAAACAGAAGCAAATAATCTCTTCTTGGGCTATCCCACCTAAATATATCCCTAGAAAATCCCTAGCTAATAATTATCCTTTAAGAGTATTGGTTCAGGACACCTGCAAGGAAGTTCTACAGAGTCAAGTAATACATAGCAGGACGGAATCTGGAATCTCTTTACAAGGACTCAGCTATAAGGCCCCTGGAAGATAATCCGAATATAGAAAGATAAAAGCCATAACAAGAACCTTTTGAAAGTTTAACCCATGTTGTCAAAACTCTAAAGATAAGCATCAATAAGAAACACCAGGCCTTAACAGATCTTTGGGATATGACCAGTTATGCAAGTATACGTTCTAATTAAAAGCGTAGATTGACAATCACTGTCAAGAGCACAGTGTTAGAGCCAAAAATCAGTAATTTTGCTGTTACTGTAATGGATCCAGGAACTTGTCCCATGCATTATCTTAAGGGCATCATAAATTGTGCATGTTAAGGCACTTTAATATGCTCCGGTGGTATAGCCACACATTCCTCACCGACTAGCAAGTAGAAATATCTTTGCAGATTGATCCACAGTCTAGTAAAGTTGAAATGCTTGGATTTATGGGATTTTTGTCCTGTTTAAGGAAAAAGGGGGGAATTAAATCAAATTTAGTCTGGATATAAATAAGGTTCAAATGGGGGAATTAGTTTTCTCAGCAAGGAAGTCATTGGGCGTATAGCAGATTTGGCGTTTGCAGCCAGTTGACTCTGCTTTTTGTCCTGTGGTCGCCACTGTGCTTTGTCCCAAAGGTGATGACAACCTTGTTACTGGGAGGCCACAATTTCACTGATGGCGTACCCTTAATTTCCCACATTTCTCCAAGCCCTGCCCCGATCCACTCTTTGTGGCAGGAAGAGGAGAGATGATGTTAAAATCCAAGGCTGACAAAGTTGACTGCCAGGCTTAGATATTTTCTCGGGTAATGCATTCCCCAGGCCGCACTGCCCAGCTGCCACCCCTCCACACAGACACAACCAGTATGTTGGAGTCCCTTTTTTAAAAAAAAGCATGGGGGAAGATGGTTGTTTTGAAGGATTGGTTTAGCAAAAAAAAGAAGAAAAGGCTGAAGAGACTTTTGTGAAGGTTGTCTATTTTAAGGGACTGCTTTCAGACCCAGCCAGTGCGAGCATATTCAAAATAGTGCCGATTTTCATACATACCTATATAAATAAAGCATATGTTAAAACTGCATTCCACCCAGACCTGCTAAAACCCTTTGAACTGTGTGATGTTCCAAGTGTTGTGCAAAGAGTGACAAGAAAGGTATCGCCAAAACAAACACCCCTCTCGACAAACACGTCCCCTACTTTTCCTTGGGCATGTTCCAGGAAGTTTCCATTCAAGGAAACCGAAGGGGAGAGCCTTAATACGTTTATTGTGGCACAAGCTACCCAAGCCATGATGCCTAAGCCTCAGCCACATGGTAATGGGGATGTTGGTTTGCATACCAGGGACGGGATGGAGAGTGGGAGCGTGGCTGGTGAGCAGCGCGACTCGGCTCGTCTGTAAAAATCCCTCCTGTGCAAAGAGGCCGGCACATGGGCTGCACCATTCAGCCCCCAGCACAGGATTTGCTCGAGCCGCACGGCAGGCATAAACTTTGCACTGGCCCCTTGCCCATTCACACAGCGCAGGAGAATAGCACTTGATTTATTTTGTGTCACGGAGTCCCACTGTCTTGGGAGGCTGTCAGCCTCAGACAAACCTTCATCACCCCATAAAAATAAATCACAAGCATAATTCCCGCACACGGAGGCAGAATAATGCTAGTTAATTAGGCCTTCTATGCAATGCTAGTTCCAAACCCGGTGGAAACGACTTCTGCCAACTAGCATGCTGGGTGTGCGCAAGCCTGCATGCAACCAAGCACATTTCTATTCTAGGGTGTACTTGTATCTTGCATTTACTGTGTAAATGTTCCAGAAGGTAATTTACAGTAGCCCTCTCACGTCAACACAAAGTCCTTTACAGCAGCACACAGGCTAATCAAAACAGCTTTGAAATTGAGCCCATGGCGAATTCATGTCCAGCTTCTAAAAACATGGACCCTACTTCATAAAAAATATCCCTATTCAGTCTGTTCATGGAAGCCCCCTCCAAGGTAGAGCAAAGCGAGGTGCTAATGCAATACAAAGGCAGTTACGGTGCCCACCCTGGGTTCTGGGGGGCCCTGGGAAAGGCCCTCCACAGGCAGCCTCCTCACTGCCGTGGGCACCAGCAGCTCCTGCTCTTCCCCTCCTCGGCACCATGGACGTCGCTTGCCCGGCAGACAGGGCGGCAGCAGGAGGGTCTGCCCCACACTCCCAATGGGCTCTGGGAGAGTCTGCCCCACACTCCCAATGGGCAACTGCCAATGGGCTCTAATTCACTGATGCCCTCAGCAGAGGCCCTCAGCAGGTTCCCGTCATGCCTAGCCTGGATGCCAGCCCTGGGCCCTCAGCAGAAAAAGCCAGGACTGGGCTTGGGCAGATCCAGGGCACCCGGCAGCTCCCACAGCGTTGGTTCAAGCCACTCGAGGAAGAGGAGGGAATGAGGCTGCAAAGTCTTCCAGGGGCAAAACACACTGTGCAATTTCAGAGCTGGGCTTTGGGGTGGGAAAGCAGGCGCATTCACACGTGTGATGGTCCTCTCTGGGGTGGGGCGCTGGGAAGAAATCGCCCTGCGCTTAAAAAACCAGCACAGCCAGGAATGAACCGGGCTAGAAGAAACCGTTTGCCCCGCGACGCTCGGCTTTTATTTTGCAGGAAATATTTATGAGGATTACATGTAGCTAGAGGACCGGACTGGCACCTGGAACTCCCGGATCCCAGTCCGTACTCGGTCACCAAGTGCATTGCGTGACTTTGGACCACTCGCTGACTCTCAATCTAAATCTTACAGGGTTTCTGTGGGAACAAAACGGAGAGGAAGAGGAGGATTCTGTAAACGACCTGGCGCTCCTAAAAGGTAAAATAGAAGTATTTCTTTATTAAATTTCTAGCCCAGAAATTTAGTCAGAACTAGTCAGAATTAGTCAGAATGACTATGTGGGCAGCCTTCTTGCTGTCTGGTTTGTTTCTTAACTCCGACCACCAAGTGATGGCCCTTAGTTTTTTCCATCCCCTGTTGCCCCTCCTCCTTCTTCTCCTCCTTTGACCTGGTACTGGGGCGAAAGCACATCCTTGGGAGGGTACAAAGCAGCAGGATCGCAAGCAAGGAGAACGATCTTTGCTCCCCCTGGAGGCGTTGTAAGAGACCGACGTCAGAGAGGCTGGAGACCAGGGGTGGTGTATCTTGGACAAAAACAGACACTGGCAAACTCCTCTGCTTCCAGTGGAGCACTGCATTCACTGCATTCATGTTCGTTCTGCCTCCTGCAAGAGCTGCCCAATTATTTTTGAGGGGGTGAAGAAAGATATCCCCCCCTCCCCCAAAGCAGAAGTTATCCGCTACCCTTGCCTAAAACGGAGAATGTGAAAGCAGCGCTGGGAATTCCAGCGCAATTTCTGTGGTGAGGTTTGTGGGGGCAGTGTTTATAGCCCCCCACATCCTAGAAAACAGGTTTACCTGTAATACCAAACTGCGCGATCACAGTCATCTGCAGGACCTTTGAGATTCGTGCATTTTGACACAACGGGCATTCCAAGCATCAAGCTGAAATCAGTGTGACGAAACCGGGGAGCTGAGCATCTTCTTTGGCCCAATTATAGAGTAGAGTCCTCTTCCGCCTGGCACTGGGAAGGGCTGCTGCTGCTGCTTTCCCTCCAGCAGCCATTCAAGGCCTCTCCCTCCGTCCGAGGGCAATGTGCGGATTCTCTTCTGGCGTCTGCAGCCGAATATTGATGTGGCTTTCAGCCTGGAGGCCCTACTCCATTTCAGTGAAGCTCTGGTGGTGGGTGGGACTGAAGCTAAAGGGGGCGTGGGCCAAAACCCACCACGTGCCAGCAGATTCGGCCTTAACATCTCTGGCTACCAGTAACAGAGCATTGGGAATGTGGTGAGGACAGAAAAAAACCAAAAGATTGGCATCGGGGAGAAGGGGCAAGGGGCTCTGCTCTTTGGGGACCCCGGGGAGCTAGGGGTAGATCTGGGCACCAAGCCACAGAATAACCTGGGGCCATCCTGGCAAAAGGCTTCAAAAGACAGACGGGATCGGTGGAATTAAGAAATGGGGGAGGGAGGCCAAGAGAAAGGGCTGCGATGCACGTGGCAAGGAGTGGAGCTGGATGGAAAAAACAGGGTGGACATCAAAACAAACGATAATCATAATCAGGGCTTAGAAAAGAAAGGGATGCAAGGTGCTCAGCCGTGCGGGACTGAGGTAGCTGCCTCGTCCCATCAGTTTCCAGGGGCTTTGCCACGCCGGAGCTAATTTATCGGCAGGGCACAAGGGCATCAGGTAATCTGATAAGAGACCCATCGTGGGAAGAGTGATGCTCCGCTGATGTGCACAGAACAGACGGCAGTTTTTCTCTCTTTATCACATGCACAAAGGAAAAAGGACAGGACCTGCCTTCGAAGGAGTATCAGCTGCTAGTGATCCTTGTGTCACTGTGACCATAATTTAGCTATACTCCTTTTCAAATCAGTCCTCCTCCTTGTTTTGTGCCGCTTTTCGTCACGTGCAAAGCACTTCACATACATTGTCCATAATCTTTAGAACAGGGTCGGGGGCTGATTTCCAGTGTGGAGCTGAAGGCAAAATGGGGTGGGGGTGACAAACCAAAAAACACCAAAGCTTTCTGGCCATAACTCCCCTAAGGAGGGGCATTTCTACCTTCCAAAATGGGCGAAGCAGCACATGAGGCCTGGAAATCACCAAGTTATCAGCAGTGAGGCAAAAGCGGACACCTGGAGGGGTGGATTTAATCCCCAGACCTGAGGCTCCCCTGGTCCAGATCAGCAATTTGAAGAAGATGAGTGTTACAGCCATGATAAAGGGTGGGGGGAAAGGAATTGGGGCCACCCAGGACAGAAATTCAGGGCCAAGAGGAAGATGGGAATTCGCAAACCAGACACACTCAGCCTAAGAGACCTCCTTTCTCTTTTAAAACTCTTTGCCAGGGTGACAGTGTACTGTTTGCACCTTTTATATTCCAAGATTTAGGAGAGCATCTAGCATAAAGAATCTGTCAAAGCCCCAAATAAAATTAATTATGTTGCTGCGAATTGCTCCTGGAAACCTGACTCTTGGGAATGTATGGTTTCTGGAAGGTAGCCTCGACCACGTCCAAAAAACCAGCAGTGTGGAATACATCAGGGACCAAGCCTTTAAATAAAGCTCTGCTCCTTGGAAAAACCGAGACCCTTAAAACCAGGACCTATCCAACCCGTCTTGATTAAATGGGAAAAGATTTCCCTCACTGTTGTCCGATGGGAAGCGCTCATCAATGCCTCAATCAGTGGCAATCAGAGGCACTTTTTAAGGAAACCATCGCCCCCCATCACGACCCGATTTCCATGTGGCTCAGCAGGCCGCCCAGCATGTCAAACACCCCACTCAGTCGGCATCGCTAAGACGTAAGCAGCTATTAATCCCAAACAAGGCGCTTGCTTGTTGACATCACCCACGGCAAGATCCTTTTGTTTGCCTGCGTTTCCTGCACCAAAACGTCTGCCTGAGTCATGGCTCCAGCCCCCACCTCGCCCCCCCCCGCTCTCCCCAGTCGTCTCCCTTGCTTTTGTCTCACTTTTGGCAGCAAACCTCTTCCCGACTCCTGCATTCTGAAACGCTGACATCTTGTTTCCAAAATGGAACCCCGAATAGCTCATTATGCAGATAAACCTTGAACATCACCATGTGGTTCAAAATGCCAGCTCCTCACTCACCCCGCCCCCCGCAAAAGAAACAATTTCTGTAATTATGTCCAGTGTTATATGTGGGCACGAGGCAAAGGCAAGTTTAGATAGAACATTTCAGAATGAAGAACTGGAGGGCCACCATTTTAACATGGGAAGGTCTCCTTGTCCAAATACAGGGCTTCTGTTTGCACACGCGTACACCTGTTTGCACATGAATATGCGCAGGTGTGAGTGTCTCTGGCCAGTTTCTGGGTTCTCCCACATGTTCTCACACCAGAAGGGAAGAGCATCTGTGCTGGCTGGGGAATTTCTTTCCAGCCACGCATGGCCTTGAAGGACGTTTTTTGGTGTTAACGTGCAAAAGCTTGCTCCTTTAGTCTCCCGTGGCACTTAAACGAGACCCTCGGGGCAGGCTAAGCACACTGGAGAGGCCTTCATGGCTACTAGTATAGTTGTCTTCATTTTACTTACCTGGCTTTTAATCTGCCAGTGCCAGGACCAGAGGGTCCAGGCAGCATCAAATCCTTCCTTGTCCATGTTATCAGGATTGGCCCCTGAGAGGACGCGCTTGGGAGGCACCAGGAAGGCCTTGATGCCACAAATGGACACCCCCCACTCCCCCCATTTTTATCCCTTAGCAAGTGGCTTGCTCTGGATTCACATGTATCAGCAGTTCCCTGTTCCTCGTGCTGAGAGAGACATAATTTTTAACCTTTATTTGGAAAAGAAAAATCATATGAAGGGAAGGTGTGCTGGAGGAAACAACATGGAGGTACTGAATATAAAACTACCACAGTAAATGGACTTTTTCATCCAATCGTTCCTTGAGCCTGCAGTCCATTGGGAGGGCAAATGTATTAAACTGAAGCCGCCGTTATCCTTCTGAATCACTGTTGCTCTTCCTGGCTCAGGCGTGGCCTTTTACGAGGATTTATTTCATGTTCTGAGGGAGTCAGAGTTGGCTGTGGAATCTGAACATCCCGGAATCCATGAGGCTGTAAAATACCAGTAACAAAATGGTTTAAAGGCTACCATAAATTAAAAGTACCTGATCGCGGCATTCCAAGGGTCAGGAGTAGGCTGGCAATAGAACGGGGAGTCATCACCTCCGGATTTCACACTGCTCACCTCCATCCAGCATTCTGCTGCCAGGGTCCTTCATCCCACCTCTCCCTTTGACATTGGCTTTCTGCTGGCTGCTGGACCCCCGGCTTCTTGTCCTCTCTTTCGCGTAGGCTTCCTCCCAGTCTCTCTCTATCCACCCATCCTTCCTATGACCCGATCGACCAGATCGATAAGAAAACAAGACTGTCCCTGCCCTATTCAACACCCACATTTGAAAGCAATGCGAAACAACATAAAAGGAGAAAGGGATGGTGAGGGTAGAGGAACAGTATAAACTCTGGCATGCATTCTCAAATCTACACAGTTTTCACAAGGACTAGCTGAGATGGAAACTGTTCAGGGAGAGAGGCACCAGGAGGAGGGTGTGTCTCAAGAGGGGGAAGAGTGCGGCTCTGTTTCCTGTCTTTTCCTGTGCTGCAGCTGTCAAAGAGCCAGAGACTGCTAGTCTCTGAGAAGAGTCAGTGGAGCCTGCTGCTCCCCTTCTCTCCCTTTGCTCAGAGTTATTCCCAGAATGTACTAACTTCATTGCCCAGCCGGCTCTGAAGAAAGGCAAACGGCAGGTGACGGCCAGTTGCTCAACAAAGCAACGAAGCTGTTTCAAAAGAGATGACATTTTGAGTTGGCCGAGTGTGAAAAATCAGGAAGAGCCACTATCAAGAGTGTGACTTTTACTAAATGCCAGCAGGTCCTGTGAGCAAGACCAACTTGTCGGTAACAAAAACAGCAAACATGTCTTGTGCTGATCTCGGGGACTTCTTTTATGCCACCTCGCAATCCGTCTTGCTGCACGTGGCAAAGCGACCCATCTTTTTTGACAGGACAGAGAGAGGGGCCAGCAGGATGAAAGCGGCAGAGGTTGCCTCCGCAGTTTTGAGTCATTAGGTGTTAGTCTTTGATCTGGGTAAATGTAAAATTTCCTGTGTCAGGCATCCCTTTACAACACATCCCAAGACTGCCCCCAAACCTCTTGTGCTTCACACCAAGAATGTACAGCAATCCCAGCCCAGCCCTTAGAGAAGCAGAAGTGCAGCAAACCCCTGCGAGACAAGAACAGCAGCGTGGCTTGGATTCCAGCCACAGACAAAACTCAGCACGAGGACTGTGGCAAAATAACATGGATCGGGGCAAGGCCCCGCCCCGGGGGGGGGGGGGACACCCAACATCTGCGAGTGTTCTCAACCTTTCAGCTTGCTCTTTCTCAGTTTATCTCCACAAATGGCAGCCTCGCTTTTGTTCTTTTTTGCGTGCATGTGCGCGCACACACACACACACACACACACACACACAGATATTAATCGTTTTGCCCTTCCTCAGGGGGAAGGAATAAGAAGGCCTACCTTTGAGCAGATGGCTCTTACCTTCTCAAAGAATCTCAGCATCTCCTAGCTGACGGGGCCACGAACCTGCAATTTCTCTAGTCAAACATTGGCCTAGCATGGCCGGCCTCTTGCTCTTGTTAAAAAACTCTGGCCTGAAAATCTGTGATAATCAGGCCAGTCTTCATCATGGTATGGAAGTCGGCAGACCAAGAATGAGAGAATCTTCAAAGCTGGAGGCAACCGCCGACTCCAACTCCCTGGCTCAGTTTCAAGCATCCCAGACGGACCGCCGCCCAGTCTTTGCTTCAACACCTCCAGTGATGGAGAGCTTGCCAGCCCCTGGGCAGCTGTTACTAAGATCTGACTGGAATCAGGAAAAACGAGGAAGTTTTTCCTGATCTTCAGCCAGAATCAGCTTTCCTGTACCTTAAACCCATTATTCCATGCCCCACGGGAGAACTGCCACCCCAAACTAACTCGCAATGCAGATTTATCGACTGGGGCAGGGAGAATCAGTGGAAGCTCCATTAGGAGCAGGGGGCAGCATATAAATGCAAGAACAAACCCAACAGCCAAAAGACACAGAAGCCCATTTACGCAGTCAGGGATCTCCTTGCTCCAGCTGTCTCAAGAGGAGGAGAAACCTCTGCCTGCTTAAGCTTCCTATTTGGGATATTCCTAGTGCGGAACGCCACACTTAACCCGGTTCTTACGTTGTTCAGCATGAAATAATGATGCTCGATTGTTCAAGGGCCTGGTAAATGTGGCAAGGTCAATATCATTATTTCCGCATGACCAGAGAAGAAACGGTGTCATTAAAAGGCGTGGGATCACAGCTGAAGCAGCGCACCCCAGCGTCTGCCGCCTGGCACGGTGGAGCGGGGGGGCAGAAGCTACATGGCCTGCATCTTTGGAATGCCATCAAGCCCAGGGCCACACCAGCTTGGTCCATCCGTCCATCGGCCAGAGAAGGGGCAGCTGGTTATTCTCCTCCCTCCGCGCAAGCAGACAGTGGCCCTGGGAGCAGAGAAGGAAGGGGAAAGAATGCTCTGGCCCCCATTTTGGCCATTTGGCAAGGCAACCAACAGGGGAAGAGCAGCCTGGCCCAAAATGCATTTAAATGCACGCCTGCCACCTTGTTCCAGCCTGAAAACCTGATTTCCTGCCTCCGCCTTCCCCCTCCACTCCCCTTCCCTTGCATGTGTCATGGTTTTTCAGACGACAGAGCATCGCCCTCCTTTGGGAGACAGTAATTGTTTGAAAGGCTGGACAGAAATGCAGTAGATAAATGAACGGTGTATTTTATTGTGCCAACATTTTCTCATTGGGGTGGGGGAATGGGACAGCTATCCTTTATTTTTCTCACGAGCAAAGTGGAAAGTCTGCAGTGACCAATTTCTGTGTCAAGAAGAGCTGTGAATCTGAGTTTGAAATGTATCATTTCTTCCAACCACCATTGTTTCGCAAAAAGCTATAATTTGGCCCTCATTCTGTGCCTTGCTCTGCGTAATAATGACGCCAACAATGCCACCCCGAAACGAAAGATGTAACCGACAGCTTTGTCAAGGGACACGTGGGAAGCATCTCCTGGGAAAAGACCTCGGAGTTCAAAATTTTCACAGGCTTGATGCGATCTTTGCGGCTAATTAAGTACATGGTGATTTCTGTGGAAGTGTTCGCTGAAGTTGTCACACGAATCAAGCCAGCAAAGGAACCGCCCCCAAAAGGAAGAAATGTAATTGCTACTATGCAATAAGCAAATCCCAGAAAGCTTTGGGTATCTCTTGGTGGACAGTTTTCCAGGAAACTGCAGACAGCCTATTTAGGAATGGGTTAAGTTTCCATGAACGTCTTTTAACCCCTTTCGGGGCACCTGCCAGGCTCTACTTCCAATTTTTTTTAGACTTACACTTTATTACTACTATTATCATTTAAACTGGAGGGTTGGCACATGGCTCGGATGTAAAGGAGCTGTTTCATGCTTTGGGAGTTCAGACTGCACTTCTGCATTTACACTCAGACGCTGCAGCAAATGCTTTTTCTTCTCCCCACTTTTACCTTCTGGGAAATTGCTGTTTTCTGGACAGCCGTATTCACCATGGCAACCTTTTTATGAATGGGCAGTCCATGCCGCATGGGATTTATTTTGCAAGAGTGCCCACAACATTCAGCATTTTAACTGTGCCTGTGGAAAGGCTGTGGACCCCAGTGCCAGTGAATCAGTAAGCGCAAAGCCAATTTAGAAACCTGCAACTCCTGACTAATGCAATTGGCCCGCAATCCATGGCTGAGGAGTAGCACGAAGCAATTCCACCTCGCCAAACTTGAGACAGATTGCGAGCGGCACATCTGCAAGGCATCTATTCCAAGAATCCAAAGCTGGAATTTACATCTCCGAAAAGCAACAAGCACACGAGCCCACCCCTCTGCAACATTCAAAAGGCAGCCTTAAAAATCTGTACTAAATGCTATGGCAACGTGTTGCCACGAGCACACATGGCAAGCAAGCAGTTACAGTGCTAAGCCACACTCCTGACATTTGAAGAGCAGTTTAAAATCGGCTTTGTTTGGCTCCCGTTTCAGCAAAAGCTGTCCTTAAAGTGCTGCCACCACAGTATTCACCCCCAGATTATTCTAGTGCATTAAAAACTCCAGAAAACTATCTGGAAAGCTTCTGCGGTCGAATCCTGGTCACTCATGAATAGGGGTGTATGGATGCTGTGAAAGCCGCTCTGTCTTTAGTCTTGGGATTGTCAGGCATCGTTCGACCTGCCATCTGCTCCCTGATGAGACTGCATTTCTTAAAATCAGCATTTTGTTCTTATGCTAATTCACATTAGCACTAATTCACTTTAGTACTAATGCACACTTGTACTAGTTAATGCATACTTACGCTAATGCGCATTAGCACAAATTCCACCCCTTCCCCAAAGTTAGAAAAAAGTCTGCAATCTTGCAGAATCCCACCATGCTGAAAAGGCTGATCTGCTGCCGAACCCAGTGGTCCGATGCCTTTGATTCTTTCGTGGATTCTTTCAGCAACCATACTTAAGACTGGCTATATGTTTGTTTGTTTGTTTATATCCTGCCCTTTTTCCTTTCAAGGGATGTGAGGCGGCTCACATAATTCTTCTCTCAATCTCACCCTCACAACAACCCTGTGAGGTAGACTGGGCTGAGAGTCTGACTTGTCCAGAGCTACCCACGCAGCCATCTCAATGCTGATTCAACTGATGGTGCGGAATCATGACACACCCCATGGACAGGCTGCTCTCGTGCTGCCCACTAAATCCAGGTGTCCTGCTGCCAGGGTGGAGAAAGTGGCATCCTGGGACACTTTTCCTGGGGCTCAGCAAGGTGCCTGAACGCCCCCCCCCCCACGCTTAAAATCGGCTAAGTTTCTTAGTGGCGGTTAGGATTGCTCCAAAGCAAAGCGAGGGCTTCCAGCTGCTGCCTTCTTCATTCCCCACAAACACCTCTGGGCTACATTTTATGACAGGGCTTAGAGCAATTTTCAGGAAATAAAGCCCAGAAAGGGAGGGAGGGAGGATGGATGGATGCCTGCGTGTGCGCATGCAAGCAAGAGAATGGTGGAGAACTTCTGCATTATGCTCCAGAGGGAGAGAGAGAAATGGAGAAAGGAGATGAATTGACTGGCAGATGTGGAAGGAGAGACCAGCTTTCCATTTTACTGAAACTGGGAGAGGCAGAGGACCTATTTCATGCGTTGTGGCTCAGACCCCACCCGCCTTCTTTCAACCAGCCACGCTGCCAGCCACTGCCCAACCCCGCCTCTCAAACTGGCCCAGGACCAAGTTTTGCCTACCGTTGCCCATAGCCTCCGCGAGCTCAAAATATCCGCAGTCTGTGATGAGAAGATTAAGTAATTATCTATGTATACGTCACGTTAACAGGATTTTGTGCCTGCCTTGGGGATGCTGTGTTGGAGAAAAGTGGAGTATAAATATAGATGACAGGGCTTTTGGTCTTCCCGGTAAAAGGAACGTGGGCTCTAATCTGATAGCTCGGGGAGAAGAGATTTAGGATATCGTCCACATGGAAGAACACAGGAAAAATGGCTCAGTTCAGACCCTACACAAACCATAGTTAAGGCAGCTCAACTACGATCCTGACGAATCAAGTTGCCACCATCCAACCAATTGGAGGGAGAAGCCGTGGTTTTCGGGGGGTTTGCACACACATTGTTTATGCAAACCCACAGTCTGGTGTCATGCCTGAATTCACAAGCTGTGGCCACCGTGCTGTAGAAAATGGAGCACACAGCAAATAGAAACCCAAAGTAGAAGAGAAGCTCTAAGACTCGGTGAGAGAGAACAGGCAACCGAAGAAGATGCAGCTCTGGCCTGTGGCGACTGCAACCACGGTGTGGTGTGATATATGATTTGCGTCAATATCGCCGGCTCATCTTGAAAACTCACGGATGTCCAAAGATGTGGCGACACCCTTTGGCTTTGGCAGCCCCCCTTCCGTGCCCCGCCCCCTGCTCACCCCGCCACCCTCCACCTTTGCTTACTGTGATGCAAAACGGCACCGTCGACTCCTTATGGCTTGGTGACTTGTACAGCGTGGCCAGCCTGAAACGACAGAAAACGAGTGTAAAGCTCTCAACTCGAGAAATGCAAAGTTCCCAGAGTGTGCGTGACACTATTCCATACCAGAGGATACTTCCATTGAAAACTTTCCCAATCGGTCCGTTGGGCATCCGGATCCCACTGGCAGGTTCTCCTGTCTCAGGGCCACAAGAAGCGGCACAAGAGATGCCGTGATCAATTCTCGTTATTCCTTCTGTATTCTGCCTTTGTGCCAGCCGCCTCTTGCACTCGTTCTAATGGGTACCACACAACAGTAATTCCCAGGCAACTGTGCCCAAAGTGCAAGAAACAGAACCTGCGGATGAGTTCAGTCTTGAATTGCAGACACTATAGAGTTAATAGCAGATATTTTGCAGGCTGTGGCAAGTGGGCCTAAAACGAACAGCAAGATAGACTGGGAACGGAGCTGGTTTAGGAAGGGGACAAAGCAGAGGTGGGCCACATGGAGGCCGGCATGGCGTGGCAGTAAGAGTGCTGGACTCGGATCCAAGTTTCAGTCCCCACCTGGCTGTGTCGCGCGCTGGGTGACTTTGGGCCCGTCACAGACTCTCAGCCTAAACTACTTCACAGGAGTGTTGTGAGGATCAAGAGGAGAAGAGGGGGGTTATGGAAACCATTCTGGTTCCCTTGCAAGGAAAAGGGATGGGTATAAATATCAGAAATAGTTAGAGACATGTGGCCCTATGCCTGACCTCCAAAGCTTTCAGTCTTCTGCAAAGAGCCATCCGTCCCTCTCCTGGCCACCTACTCAGTAGGGAGATGGCAGGAGAGAGAAATTAGTCTTCTGAGAGCTGTTTTGGACACTCCCTTACTGAAAAGGGAGAGCACAAATATTTCAAAATAAGCAGCTGCTGTCATTAGTTTCAGTCCACATTGTGAAGTCAAGAACCGTCTCTGCAGAAATGTGCAGCGAGGGGAGAAGCTTTGGCCCGCACAGCCCCCCTCCCCCCCCCCAAAATATTCTGCCTTGCTTCGAGATAACCTGCCAAGATTCCTGTTAATTATTTTTTGGGTTTTGGCTCCGTCTCGGTCCCCTTGGGCCATTCCATTAGAAAGCAAGTAATTACCGCCCAAGAAAGATTACCACTTCACATTAGCTGCATGAGGAATTCCTCAGAACATTTAAATTGGTGGGTTGTACTTTACAGAAGAACCTTAATCTTGAGATTAAGATGGCTTAATCTTAATCTAAGCCATGCTCTTAAAGAGGGTCTCGACTGGTGTTGCGCTGGGCACTTCGGACGCAATTGTCGCTGGTTCGCACAGCAACCAACCCCCCCCCATTATAATTAAGTGGCGCCACATTTCCAGGGCGGGAGGAGGAAGAGGGAAGCAAGCATCGGGTGGAGGGGAGGAAAGGGGAGTGGTGGGCCAAGCCACCTCATGCTGTCCCTTAAGGCATATCCCAGACGTGCGCCCAAGAGGGCCTGCCCTGCTCAAAGAAGCAAACCTCGCTTGCTGTGTGCAGCCCTCGATTGGCGTGCGCTCACCTTCCATCTGGGCTGCCTGTGATCAACACTGCACCCCCCTCTCCCCCCCCAGCGCCTTTACCATGGGAATGATTAGATCAGTCGCTGCATAATTCTACTTATTAAAAGCTCCATCTTCTGCCCACTATTACTAGCTTAGCTAGGAGAGGCAGACGGGCTCCCGAGGCTCCGTTCCCAAAGATTACATTACACCCACTTCATTGTAGGGCAGTGCTAGTTCTCATTTACGTTAAGTGACCCATCCCCCCCGCCCCCCCCCCCCACGGCCGCTCCTAAAGCCGACCTACATTTTCTTTTTCCCATGGTGCCCGCACACCTTGTGGTTCTGCTGGCTTGTCTCTGAGGACAGGCGAGCGGGGCCTGCCCCCGACTGCCTCCAGGTGTCCCACTCTACAGTTCTGCTTTTAAAAACCTCTCTCGAGACCTGTGTCCACTGCTCACACCGGCCCACCACCCTTGGCACCGACGGTGCTGTGGCACGCTGGCCGAGACCCCCGGTGTCTTCCCAGGATTATAGTTCCATGGTCCTAACTCGGCTCGTGTTCGGCAGACGAAGGCTAAGTGTTGTGAATTTCCAAATGACAGCAGAGTAGAAAGCAGTTCCGGAAACGTCGTGTCATGAGAAGGGAAATCAAGGTTGTAAACGAACAAAAAGGGATGGATTTCTCCACGGGGCTTATTTCCAGCCTGAGTGCCTGGCAGTCAGGCCATGGCAAAGGGTTGCGAGAGGCACGAATAACAGGGAAGAGAGTAACTTCCCTTGTCCAGATAAGCCTTCGGGACAGTGGGGCAGAACTTCAGCGGAGGACCACGATCTTCTCCCTTCGCCAAACAAATGCCAATTCAATTTGGAGGTTTCCGGGCTTCCCTGGAGCTCTTTCTCCCTTTCTGAGACATACCTCCTGGCAGTAAGAGCTAATCTAAAGTTACGTTGGTGCTTTGGGGTGTTTTTAGCCCTAAACTTTTGCCCTCCCTCATTCCCCACTTTATATGTGCCCTGAGCAAACCTAAGTTTTTTGTTTTTTTTTCAAGCATGGTATTTTTATATATTATTTTCAGTATAATAAACATGGGCTTATCATAGCCCAAAAAAGTTAAAGAAAAGAAACCCAGTTTCACTAGGATGCACAGATTTGTGAAAGCTTCAAATAGAAACTGTCTTGTCTGAAAAGCCTCGCAAAATATGATACTGAGGTGGAGGGGCTTGAGTTGGGAAGCGTGACCAGCGTGGCACAAAAGTGGGCTCCGAATTACGTTAAACGTTCAGGTTTTCTGTGATTTTTAACAGCTTAAGGATCCACATGGCATAGTTAAGAGTTGGATTTGGAGCTCCAGGTTCTAGTCTTCATTTGGCTGCAGGGATCACTGGATGATTGTGAGCTAATCACTTACTCTCAGACTAACCTACCTCACAGGGTTGTTGTGAGGATAAAATGGGGATGGGGGCTTAGGCAAGCCGCCCTGGGCTCCCTCCCAAAGCCTCTGAAAGTAAGGCTTGTTAGAGAAGTCCAAAAAATTTGCCACTGGTGAACAAACTGAAGTGTCAAGACATGTCTGCCAATATCACAGGCTGTTTTGAATTTAATTACAGGGCTTAGACGGATTCCAAATATCAGATATTCACTGGCCTGATTCATCTCTATTTTTTCTTACCTCTGTTTGTTATCCCAGTGCAGAATTAAACGGATGGTTGCTGCATGCCCCCAGCTTTCTCCTAGAAACACACAAAACAAAATTATCACACTGGTTTGCTGCCTTAATGAACTGCCTCGGTGTCAATAAATATTTGTCAAGTTTTTTACAAGAGGTTTCAAACTCTCAAAACAAAAAGGCATACAACTGACCTGTGCAACTTATCGCTACGGGGAAGACAATAACAAAATCGTTTTGAAACAATGTAAGATCCTTTTCCTGCTAAGGACTGCTTGGCCGAGAGCACCAGACAATTCCTAAACTCTGAAGGGATGGGGACTGGAAACAATGCAAACGGGAGAAAATGCCTCCTGGTGGATCGCAGTCCTTATGAGCACGTCTCCATTTTCCCCACAAAACAGTCTCTCTTACTGGAATGCCAGGCTTGCAGTCTTACTTGATGGCAAACAAAGTGCACCTCCAGGATCATGGCCTCCTGTCCATTGTATTCCCAGGCTGCTTTCCCGATACCAAAAGTACGCATCCCTTGGCCCCCTTCCTGAATGCAGGGAGAATACGGACCAGTCCCAACTCCGAAGCAAGCACATTCCAGAGCTTGGGAGCTGCTCAGGAGAAAGCTCCGTGGCCTGAACAAAGTGCCCTCAGAAGGACTTCTTACTGCTCTTTCCTAGTATGGGGACAAAGCAGCGAGTTCCTTTCTTCCTCCTAAAACCCGAAGAACCGGGGTGGCTTTTGAAGGAAAGCAATTTAATTATTTTAGCTCATGTCTGGCTGTGTCATTTGATTCCCAGACAGATTTATTGAGCCCGTCTCTCAACCCGTTCTAGACACAAGCTCTGCTAGTCAGAAGATGGATTGGATTTTAAAGCAGTCATTTAAGGGAAATGCTGTGAGGAGGCCCCCAATTTGTCTCCAGACAGTTCCAGAATCACAAAACTGATACATCTGTTGGCCTCCAGCTCCACCCAGTCGCCTCCTCATTATCACACACAGCGAGAAGCAGCAGCATTCCAGTGGAAGAATCCTCAGAATTAAAATGTCTAGACCTGGAGGCAGCTTGCCAGACCCGATCACTGTGCTCGCCTGAGATTTAATGCGTGGAAGTGGAGATGAGAGCACGAATTATACAAATGAAAGCCATTTCCATTTCAGACCATTATTTCCCTATAAGTGGTTGGGGGGTGGGACTGGGCTCTTTTATACCACACGTTAAGGGGGGAGCATTGGTTCTAAATCACACTGCTGAGAGATTAATATTTGACCTCGTTACTAAGTACGCCAAGCAGACACTGTATCTGGCGTCATCCAGCTTAGCTCTCAAATCACGCTTCTCAAAGAACCCACCAACTTAACGTTGGCGGTGTCTAACAGGTTCCCTGCATCGATAATAACCACAGCCGTGATGTTACGTGCTGACCTGGGACCAGGCAGAAGCATCTCCATAGTAGTGGAACTCTATAAACTTCCCCCAGCCACAGATCACGGCCAACCAACCTATGCAGAATTCAGAGGGCCAAATCCCAATGGGAACAGACCAAGAGTGGCCATGGAATCGCAGGCCACCCACCCCAGAATGGAGAAAGAGCCAGGCGCACTGCAGTGAGAGAAGAGCCTTCATTTTCTCACTTGGTGCTCTTCCCCATCCCTCAGGCTATTCCGAGAACATGAAGGAAAGAGGCGATTGGCAGCTCGGGGACCAGCTGGCGCCCCTTTGGGAGCCAGGCTCGGCCCATTGTCCGCCACTTGCCGACCCTTAAATCTATTAGCTTTAATTTGCTGCGTAGCCTGATCGTCTGCCAAAAATCATGCACACAGTGGAGGGAAGGCGGCACAGAAGACGAAAGGTCAGTGTTTGAAAGCAAGGGCTTTTATCTGCATGCACATTTCAAATCTGACATCCTCCAAGGACGTGCTTCCTATTTTGTTCAATTTATCTCATATCTCTGCCAAGTGGTTGAACAGCTGAATACACACATTAAAGACGCCGTTGCCTTTGTATGGCTCCCTGCACCCCGATAATCAAGGGAATCATTACATGATTTGCAGAAACTGAAGGAATGCGTTGCATCCAATTGCAAGAAGCATTAAAAACCCCCTCAACCCCCTGCATTTCAGTTCTCAGTTAAAAAGCTGTTTTAAGTCAGATCTTTAGCAAGTTGGAATACGGATTTGGATCTGCTCTGAGCAAAGTAGGGAATTAATTTTAAGATTATCAGGAAAATCTGATCTCTGAAGATGTTGGCTGCTGGCACCAAAAACTCATTCCACAGTAAATACAAGATATTTTCTGGGCTGAAGCCATGCTATAAGCCGACTGTCCAAAATGCACAAGGATGCCCTTAAGGGGTGTGGAGGAGACAAAGTAATCAAAGGGTGCTGACAAAGACGGCAACTCTAACTACTCCACTAGCCTAAAAGCAGGCAATCAAGCTGGATAAAACTTAAATAAATTTGCAATTAAATATATATATATATATATTGCCTTGTCTGTGATAAAATCAATGTCAACTTCCAAGATTTTCCAAGGAAAAGCACACTCTTTGGATCCTGCAAGCTGCGATTTCAACCTGTTTGGTATTCCCGCACAAGGAATGATGGGCCCTGTAGCCGGTTTTAACTTGTCCTGCTCCATCTGGGTTTCCGTGACCTGTTCCTGGCGATGCCTTGGGCAAGGAAGCACAAAAAGGGACAGGTGACAGAGGCTTTGGTACCACGGCCGGCACCGCCGCCCCCCTCCCAAGACACTGAGTTCAGCACCACGGAGAGCGGCCCTGCAGCCAGAGTGGGCCCCAGCTCTGTCTGCCAGGTTACCACTGGTAGGGGTCTGTTGCCAGGCTGACGGTCTTGGGAACACCATTCGCCCACTCGCCACACCAGCTTGGGAAGCCGAATCCTCTATTTGGAGCCAGGGTTTTTATGCACCCTTCCAGCTGGCGAGGGGCTGGCTGGCTGGCTGCAGAAGGCTCCCTCCGGCTTCTCTGTTCACCAGAAGAGTCTGACGCCCACTTCATGGGTAGCAGCATCTCATGGGGATAAAACGCACACGGTCCAAAGCACAGGGCCACACTTGTGCTGACCCAGAAACGGGTTCCAGCAGCTCTCAAACTTTCCGCCGCTTGAAATCTCAGCCCTGACCCTCGACATGGCCTATAGAGTCACTGCGAAAGGGGCCACTTTAGAGTTTTTCTCCATTGTTTCCTTATGACCAAAATAAGCCAGAACTGACGACCCCCAGAGCAAACAAGCATGCACTTTCCGTCCTTCCCAACCTAGTGCCCTCTGGGCATTTTGGACTACAATACCTATCAAGTCAAGTTTTGTTGTATTTAGCTATAAGCAGTTACGCAATATTTACAAAAGACATAGTGAATAATTACAATATCTATCAGTCCCACCCACAATGTCGAATGAGGAGAGATTCTGAGTGCTGTAGTCTCAACCACCTGGAAAACTCCATGCTAGGAAAGCTATCATCTCTCAAAAGCTCTGCTCATCAAAAATTTGCCCTCAACCATAAAATTAGCACCTTTAGATTAAGCAGTGATTTTATGACTGTTTTTCCACTGCACTTCTATCCCCCTTTTCTCCTCTTGCAAGGACCCAGGTTGGCTCACACAGTCCTCTTTATTTTATCCTCACAAGAACAACCCTGTGAGGTAGGCTAGGCTGAGAGTAACTAGCCCAAAGTCACCCAGTGAGTTTCATGGACAAGTAGGGGCTAGAACCCAGATCAATCAAGTCCTCGGTCCCACACACTAATAACCACACCACAGTGACTCTACTTAAATCTCTAGCTGGTTCAACCAAGTATGGTGCAATCCAGTTACCCATCCCATCACTCCGGGACACTGGGGCTTAACTTTCGAACAAACACTCTCGGTCTGCACTGCATGGTCTGCTGGACCGATTCCCAGCTCTGACTTGTAGAGTCCAGTCTGAATACATTGGAAAGGTTCTGCCAAAAGGCAGAGTAAATGGTGAACTTCCAAGGAGTGTTGCCGATGGAAATGTTTCCCTCTCCACAATATTGCTCACCGAATCCTCTGCCCCCAGACCTGTCCTTCTCTTTCAGAATCTTCCTTCTAATATTCCTTAGGCTGATGAAGGATTCTAAATTACACAATGAAGAAATGCATCCTTTGCAACATTGAGATTTCTTCATTCTAAACGTTTGCAGGGAGAACTAAACATGAAGCAAAACGTTCCATTATTCTGCCCCAATCTCCAAAGTGCCCATGCATTTATCCTTAACTCTATGTCCTTCTGTTTAAAATGTTACCTACTATCGCTAAAAACAGTATCAATTAACGATCATTTTCATCTGGGGAGCTTGAATGCTGTGATTTGATTTTACAGCAAGTTTCTTTAGAGGCACTTGATGTTAACAGTGATACGAATTGGTTTTCTGTGCATGATTACCCTGATGTTCTGCATACGGAAGCTCTTCTGGACAAAGCCAGACTTATCTATTCCAGCATCATTTACTCTGGCCAGCCACTGATGGGAACTGGAATGGAATCAATGTTGGGAATGGCTATGAATGCTCCTCACTTCCAAATCCTCTTCATTTTCTCAGCGATGCATCATAGCCGGTCCACTTGGCCTTGATAAGTTCAGAGACACCCAGGACAGGTGACTCCCGTGTTGGTGGCATTCCCCACCCCTTCCAGCCTTCATTTTTAGCTATATAGGAGCTACCCACGCTGCTGGAACCCCCTCCCCAGACAGGCTTGCTGCCTCCCTTGGGGACAAGGGCATGTCGAAATGTCCACTATGAACTCAGCAGACACACCTGCTGCTTCTTTGGATCCATTTCTATTGTCACAGGTTTCAACCTGGAGAACCAAAATCCAAGACGGTGGATTGCCCACCTCATACATACGTGCGGGTCCAGAGAGAATCGTCTGGGAAACACCCCAGACTGGCACGGGGATGGTGGCTGACCGTGCTTGGGAGACAAAAACGGAGACAGGAAAAAAACGTCACTCAGTCTAAACCCTTACCTAAAGCAGGTACCAAGGAGGAGGGGCCATGTCCGATCCTTGTTGTCATCTGATTGGTCAACACGACCTGCAAGAAGCAGGGAGGGAATCTGCCTCAAAAGACGGGAACCGCAAATAGGGAGAGCAGAGAACCGGTCCCACTGTGACCCTCCGCAGCTCCCTTTCGCAAGAGCATGATTAAATCATGGATTTTGCTCCCGCAAAATGGCCCCCAACTTAGACAGAAGCGAAGGCTGCCAGTGACAACTAGTCACGTTGCTTCCAAGAGAAGCATACCTGTAAATACCAGCTGCCGGTATGTGGTGGTGGGGAATAGTTACTGCCTTCATGTCCTGTTTATGGCTTTCTCAAGGGCATTCATCTGGCCACCGTGGGGAAACAGGGATGTCAAGCTAGACAGACCTTTCGTCTGATCCCAAAGTATTTTGTAATGTTACGCTCTTACGCTCCCTTCCCAGCACTATCAGTAAAAAGTCACGGATGGGGTTTATTTTTAGCAGCACGGCAATAAAAAAGAAATCCCTGTGTGCTCACAGAATTGTAGCTCGAGGAGGAGCCGGGTTACCTGGAAACAGGAGAGAGACAGACAAGCACCATTCCAGAATTTGTGCAAGCTTCGTTCCTGAGCAAATCCTTCCCTATGTGGTAGGGCTGAAAAAGGCCCACGTACAAATAGCTGTAGCTCAAGCGTGCCCTCCACTGGTGTGAAACCAGCCACGTCTGCAGCACCTCCAAAACAGAGGTAAAAGCAGAGAATCAGCACGGTGGGATGCCAGGCATTTTCTCCCACAGCTACTTCTGGTGGCACGCCGGTTTCTCTCTTGACTGGAACCTTCAGTGAAGGGCAGAGCTTAACTGTCTAGGAACCCGATGACCAACTGTTGGCAGAAACCCCACTCTATTGCAAAATTATGTGGGTGTTTCCAAGAGGGGGAACCCAAACCTCCGACACGTCCCTTCTTGTGCTTTGGGATCAGCTGAGGCAGGCCTGCTGTGTGTGTCATCCAGGGAGTGGAAACCAGCACTGGGTTGAGAAGGTGGCATTCCAAGAAATTCGCAGGACATGTTTTAAATGGCACATTTCAGTAGTTTTATTCAGCAGCAACAGCAGCAGCAAAACCACACTCTGTCCAGGGCTTTTTTGCATGGCACAAAGCTACAACGCCCGCCTTGGCCTTTGCCCGCTTCCTCGCTTTCCAACCGGAAGAACTCACCGCTGCAGTGTGATCATTTGCGATACTGATCAGCTGCTGGGCCAATCCATTCAACAGCCGCGTGCGTAGGGAGAGATCCTGAAAGTCATGGCGGAAAGGAAAGGCGATGCCATCAATCACGATCAACCGTACCTAAGGGTTGGACAGAACATGCAGGGTTGCAATTATGCGAAACAAAAAACCCACCCAAACTTTTTCTCCCCTTCTCGAGACCCGTCAGACCACGACGGCCTTCAGGGACAGCCTGCAGTCGGCACCACAGCCTGCCATGCCCCATCTGGCAGCAACAGTGACCTTCCACACAGCCAAGGGCCTTGCTGTAGTCTCCAACACATGGGCTGATCTCCTGGAATTCTTGGCCGGCGACCCCTACCTGCCGTATAATCTCAGTGCCTTTCCCTTTTTGGAATCCAGCTTGAACACCTGGCATTTCTCACTCTTGCCAGGGCAAAAACCTTTGTTGCCACACCTTGAGCATCACTCTGCTCGCGTGGGAGATGGGAGCATTTTGGTGGGAGAGCGCCCATGCAGCTTCTCCCAGCCTTTGGGACAGGACAGAACAACGGGGAGCAACGGTGTCTCCCATGGCCCTGAGTGGCCCCATCCGTCACCCTGTAATTTGGGGGGGTCGTTCCCCAGAGTTGGCAATCTCGGCTGGGTTCAGACAACAGAGGTACTCGTGCTTCAAATTAACCCATATTCCACCCGCCCCCAATCTGAGTGGCGCATTATCAGGACCCCAGCCCCTGCTAGCCGAAGCGGACGTTCCTGAACTAGGCAAACCACCCCATCATCCACCCACCCCTCTTCCAAAAGGCTTCGCCAGTTCTTCACAAGCTGCTCTGAAATCACACGGGGAACTTTTCCTTCAGGACGACACGCCCACAGCCAGGCCTAAGAATTTCCCACATCCTTGTGGAGTGAGCCCACAGCTGCCCCTATCAAAACACACACAGAACAACATTTGCTGTGCAGTGGAGACAGATAATCATCACCCTGCTGGCTGTTTGCTTTGCTTAACCGTTTCATTCATAATTCAGAAGGAAGCCAACTAGCATGCCCAAGGCTCATCCCCATCCCTGTGCTTAGTCACGATGTACTGGAATCCCTTTGCTGCAGTTGCTATTAAGGCTGCAAATACTATTTCCCCATCACCAGTAAGCCTGTATCATTTCATCTGTTCAAGAAGCTTCTTCTCTGTACCCAACGCAAGGTGGAACAGCTTGCTCCCATGCTGCAAAGGATCTGATGACTGAAACTCTCTTGAGGCAGAAGGCATTCTAGTCCTCACTGAGTCAAAGGAGAAAGTCTATTCAATCCAGAGCAGGGAGAGGGCAGAGCATCTAATTATCAAAAGGCAAGAAAACTGGAAAGCGGAATGCACCTATCCTTCCCTGCCAGTCCCACTTAAACTGGTGCTACATACAACATTCCAGTTTTCATCCCATACCCAACCAGAATTTTTAAACTGCGTCTGCAGCAATGGCAGTAAAAGGCCTTGAAATGCTTCCATAGATATAAACAGAGATACTTGTTTTAGGATGGTGCCCAAGGCATCCCTGCACAACTAGGGAACTCACGGTAAGGACACGGAGGCCAAATTTGGCCAGACTGTGGTGCCACAAATAGCCCGCCCTTTCCCCCAACCCCCAATTCTTTGGTGGTTTCCTGGCTTTTCTGCAGCTTTTTCTTCCCATGCTAAACAGCAGCAATGCTTGGCTGGAGGCTTCATTACTGGCAGGAAGGGCTTTGCACGAAAATATACTGGTAGTTCAGGATTTCTGAGCACTCCCCGTTTCCCTCCAGCGCCACCCACGGCTGAAACATGGCCCCGGAAACCTCCTCTAAAGCGGACAGCATCCCTCCCTTGGGCTGAGAAGGATTGCTCTCCCCTGCCTAATCATAATCATACTTTATAGCATTTATTTATTTGTTACTTTTATATTGTTTATAATATATTTATAATGCATAGAGTATTCGCATAACGATTGCACAGATTATGGGGCACAGCCGTTGGGCTTGCAGTGCCAATTGTGAAGGCTTGCCGAGCTGCACCGCTGGCCTGCGCGAACAGCGCACGACTCTGGACCACGTCAGAAGTCTCTGCCAGCTGCGCATCACCCAGCGAGTTCTCAAAAGACCCTCTCCGGGGGAAGCTTTTCTGCCAGACACACTTGGGCCCTGAAGAAGGATTTCCTGCACACAGGAGAAAGCAAAAAGTGTGAGAGCGTTTATAACCCTGACACTTTTGACATACTCGAATTCCACTTCTGCGGGGACGGCTTCCTGCCTTCACACATTTCAACCCCTGAGCTATTTTCCACTGGCGCAGCGAGTCAATAACACAAGGGCGGACACGTCCTTTTATAGCTGCTGTGTTGCGGAGCGAGAGAGCACATTCCATGCTTATCGACTCTCCAGAGGGGACAGAAAATGAAACAGAACACGGCCATAAAATTAGACCCTAATGTAGCACATCTGCGGCTCCCCACAGCTCATTCCGCAGGGCAGCAAGGCATGGCCGTTCCCAGGGCCAGCCGCGGTGCAGCGCGGACAGAAACATCATGCGGAGGCCCCCAAGCAGCATGGAGAACCAGCAGGTGCATAGAGGAGAAGATGCCGAACTGCCCAGACCTAGTAGTTCTGGCCCAGACAAAACGGCGTATTCTTTTTCTTTGAAGTGTTCGTATCCCTACCTCGTAACCATCCCGACTCAGGAGCTGGCTAACAATATAAAATATGCAGTCCCACAGAGAAGGGCGTGGGGGCACCCACTTGTTCTGCAGCAAGACCAGAAAGCAGAGCAAGCTTTCAGCAGTGCCGTCTGCATCCTGACCCGGGTCGGCAGCGCCTCAAGATGGTTAGATCCTGGGACTCGGCAGAGGAAACCCCCCCGTGCATTTTAGCGAGCGAGAACGAGGGTTGAGCCTTCCTTCGGAAAACCGAATGGGTGGCGGTCGCTCTGCTGTGCTTCCCACACACGTTCCCGAGGCAACAGCATACAGACAGGCAGGAAAACGCAGGCCAAATATTTGCCTTCGCTTAGGTGATGTGCTCCCACGGGGGAAATCGGGCAGCTTCAGATCTTCAGGTTGGGACTGATTCTATCCGACCGGCACACCTCAGGGCCTAAACACGCGGCTAATTCAGGGCTCTTTATTGCTTCCCTTATCCCCTATTTTTTCTTCTTTTACCGTCTACCCCGATGAAAAGTTATGGGGAACTAGAAAGCGTGTGTGATTTTGGGGCATTTTGGTAGGATCTGATAAAGATAGTGCCCAACTCTGGATTTTGATTCCTTCTCCATGGACTGCAGATGCCCATGTTTCATTTTTGCTTTCTAAGGAAATGAAGATTATAATCCAAGTGCCTGTTTACTTTGGGTTGTGTGTGCATGCACACAAACACCCCCCTCTGTGTGTGCACACGTGTGCATATGTGTACAGAGGGTGCACACACAAGCATATGCCAGTGTGGTGCAGCAACTAGAACCTCAGACTTGGGAGATCTGGGTTCCAGTCCCCGCTCAGCCGTGGAGGACACCAGGTGACTCTGGGCCAGGCCCTGACTTTCAGCCTAGCCTACCTTGCAGGGTTGTTGGAGAAAGAGGAGAACCATGTAAGCCACCTTGGATTCCTTGCAGGAAAAATGGTGGGGTATAATAAGTAAATCATTGTATGTTAGACACGCACATAGGTATGCGTCACATCCGGCCTTGCTCCGATCAGACCAACAATGTAACTCGGACTAAAGGAGCCGAGTCTTTGCCATGACGACAAGCTAAGGTGGACCATCTCTCCCCCCGGCCCCCCCAGGCATTCAGCTCCTACCTTTGAGTGTTCAGAGAGGAAGTCTGGGAGAAGGTAGACCTCTGCCAGCAGCTCCACATAGCCATGGCAACGGATGTAATAGATATGTGAAAGGATATTTTCCAGGGAGAACGTCCCCAGGGCCGTCATATGGTCTAAAGGAAAAAACGGGGAGGCGGAAGTGATGCGAATGTGCTGCATGCTTGCCTAACCCTTCCCAGGCAGGCCGGCACAGCGCGCCCAGAGTCCTCCTGCAGGTAACTGCGAGATCTCCAGGCCAAGGACAGCGCGCCACCTTCCCACAGTCATGTTTAAAAAGCCGCTCCAAGGCTTGGCAATACACCTGCGGAGTTTTCAAAGCATCTGGGAATAAATCCAGGGCTACGGATGCGTGGTGTGGTTGAGCGCATGTGCTGGGAAACTAAAGGGTTTAAATGCCACTTGCGCTGTGAATGCATCAGGAACCGTTGGACAGGGGCTCCACAAGCGTCAGCTTGGGCTGCTCTCGCCAGCACTTCTAGGAACTCCGCCTTTCCCAGCCCCTGGGCCACAGCGGCAAACGAAGGCCTCCTTCGTTGGTAGCCATGGCCTGGTTAAGCAGCAGGCTGGGTGTGAACTGCAGGCTGTCCCTACAGCCTTGTCCCTGCCGCCACATCCTAGCCAAGGATGCGGCACAGAACCTCAACACCTCTCCTCGCCAGAAACCCTCCTTGTCCCTTCCCTCGCTCACACATTTTGGGTAGGCACAAGATCACTTGGTTGCGGCGCTCCGACGTGGAATAGCCTGCCCTCCCGTTCAGAAATCTGTCCACATGGCGTTTTAGCAGCACTAAGATCAGGAGGGCCGCTAAAGAGGAGTGCAGGAAGGCTCTTGCTGCTCGCTCTGATGGGTAGAACTCACAGCCACCCTTGGCGGCCTTAATGACATTTGGTGGCCTTCATGCTTGGTTTGAGCCTTTTATCAGATTTTTATCTTGTAAATGATTTGGGGATTTAAAAGAAAGTGGTATCAAAATCCTCTAAAATAAATAAAAGTGACTACCAATGCTAAGTCTGGCTTTCAGATGTGGATTTCATTCATTATTTTTAAAGAGTAACTTGTGGGGGGGAGAAGAGACTGCTGCTTCGAGCCACGGACAGCTGGTGCCGGTGAAAGGATGTGTGATATGGGGCGTCTGGTAATGGTGGCTTGTTATCAGAACCGTACCATTTCAAGAACGGTGCCCGAGATTTCTTGCTTTCACATTCCTTTCCCATTCTGTTTTCTCTGTGTGTGCACAGACTGTGAATCTAAACACAGGGATTTTCTTGTCTGGATCGATCTGTTTTGCCACCGGAAGCCAGTGGAAGGCCTTTCTGGGTTCTAAGCAAGTAGCACAGGGAAAGCTGCATTCTGCAGAAAAGGAACACAGTTTGGTAACAAACCTTCTTCTGGGTGCAATTCAGCAATAAGCCGACAATGCTGGACGCAGGCAGATGCCATATCTGCTACTCGGTCGACCATAAAACTCCCTTCTGTATCTATGAAAATAGCTTCTCCTGCAAGCCCTCCAAAGCATTCTGGAATTTGCACATCCACCGCCAGTTGCATGCTGAGAAAGGAAACACAGGGGTCCCAGGCAAAGAGATCATTAAGCAGCAACAGGAAGCCTTATTAAAAGCCAACTCCTCACTCACGCCTGGAGAAATCGATGGTTCTTCTTGCAAAGGGTAACTCTTCCCTAAGAACTCTGCTACTTCTTGAAATCCCCCCCATGGGATAATTAAGCTTTAAAAAAGCATATTCTACTGATGCCAACAGACAAACTGGGCCCAGAACCTTTCCAGTGCCAAGAAACACCCCTTAAAAATAGAGAACCTTTCCCATTAAGATTAATGGTGCCAGTGTGAGCAGGCAAACCGAAGCACAGGAGGGCTGGAGACAAGACCAGGTGGAGAAAAAGCTTGGCATCGTACTCTGGGCCTTGCTCTTACCATAACTGTGTTTTGCCGACACCTGGTGGACCACAGATCTCCGTGAGCTTGGTCAGCTGAACGCCTCCTCCAAGGAGACCGTCCAGCGCAGAACAGAACGTGACGATGGTGCCTTGAGTTTGCTCCTCTTCCAGGAGTTCGAGAGCTGTACACTTCCTGACAGAAGCCAGCTCTGCTCTGTCCCCTTCTTGCTCCCGCCTGATCACTTGCAAAACTTCTAAGGCTTCCTGTTTAGAAATTCCAGTCTCTGAAAATTCAAAATTCTCTGTAAGAGTGCAATCCAATGTATGCTCAGGCAATGTGTGTTGTAGGCTTGTATTTTTTAAAAGAACAGCTTCCTAAGTAAAGTTATTTGCAATAGTGACATCTGCAAATATGAAGTTAGCTGAACTAGCCTGCAGTAGCTTACATGAGGGTAGAATACACTAGCCTACACTCGAGTAAATCCCATTACATTTGGTAAGACAGACTTCCTCGCAAGTGTGCACAAGAGGGCAGCCTCAAAGGATCTCCCTTCCCTCCCACCCCCTGGAAATGGCTGAGAAAAATGTTTTAACAGCTGACTCTTTTTCCAAATTTTTGTTTACAGTTGCTGGAGGGTCTTGCGAAGCTTGAACAACCTGCTGTTTCTACAGTGCAGAATACTGATAACATCTCCTTAAAGGTAAGCCCTATTGGATTTGTACATATTCCAAATTAGGACTGAAATCCATGTGTTTAATTGCCGATGTTTAAACTGTGTGTGTGTGTGTGTGTGTGTGTGTGTGTGTGTGTGTGTGTGTTACTATTCTGTGTTTTCACAGCCAATTTTTGACAAAGCTGTACAAGTGCAAGATATTAATGTTTACCAAGAGAGTGGGGAAATGATTGGGATGGTGTAAATTGGTGAGCTGCAACAGCAGGGGGTTGAATCCATGGCCTTCTTGGGCCCTTCTGACTCTTACTATTCTAGGAAACCGCTGCAGTGTGGCTTTTTCTCCCTGCACTCCGTTTTGGAAAGAGTTTAGCTAATTCGGTGGATGTATATTAACTTTGTTTAAATCATTGTTTCTGCCCCTGTATATTTTGCACGTTTTCAAACAAGTGTAATTATGCCAAGCTTTCCCGACGGGAAGAATGTTAGCGACACCTAGTGGCCCACATAGAAAAGCACAAAAGCCACGCAAGAGGATGCGCCTCGACCGCACAGCTGCCCTGGCGCCCGCCCCCGGGGGCTGAGCAAGGCTGCCCTCGGGTGCCCCCGTGGGCCTGCGGTCCCCGGGCGGGTCATTGGGCGCCCTGAGCTCTGCTGAGCTGGGGGGTGCAAGCGCCCCGCCACTCAGCGCTGGTGGGGCCTCGCCTGGAGCCCTGTGCCCACTTCTGGGCACCAGCGTTTCAGCAAGATGCAGACAAGCTGGGGAGGGTTCAGACGGACGGTGCAGGGCCCGGAAACAAAGCCCTGCGGGGAGGGATGGCGAGCACTAGGCATGCTTGGCCCCGAGAAGAGAAGGCTGGTCGCCCCGCCAGAACCTGGAGGGCTGGCACGAAGGGGAAGGCCAGGCTCTCCCCTCGGCCGGCGCAGGGCGCAGGGCGCAGGCCAGGGAAGCGCGGGCTCCGGGCACAGCGAGCCACATCCTGGCTAGAGGGCGGGAAGGGCCCGGGCCGCTGGAGCGCTAGGCGAGGGGGCCGAGGAGCCCCGGGAGGCGCTGGGCGTGCTCGCCCGCCCGCCCGGAGGCCTCCGAGCCGCAGCTGCTGGACAGCCATCTGGGCGGGCTGGTTCAACTGGGGGCCCCGCACTGGGCAGGGGGCGCGCCCGCTGCCCTCCGGCCCCTTCCCACTCGCCCCCGCCAGGATGGGGAACTTGCCGGCCACGCGCAGCGGCAGAAGCGAGCGGCGGCCAGAGGAAGACCCGCGCGGGAGGCGCGGCGGCCAAGCCCGGCCCGCCCGCCCGCCGCGCCGCTACCTTTGCTGAGCTGGCAGGGGCCGGCCTCGAGCGCGTCCCGGCCCGTCTCGAAGCCGGCGGCGAGCAGCTTCGCCCGCAGACCCGGCGCCAGCGGGAGGCTGCCCACGGCCCGCTGCTCCATGGCGGAGGAGGCGAGGAGGAGCCGCGGCGCCCGCCAGCCCCGGCCCGGCCCCTTCGGGGCGGCCCCTTCCTCGCCCGCCGCGCCCGCCCCCGGGCGAGCTCCCAGCCGCGCGCCTCGCGGCTTGCTTCCGAGGAGACGCGGCGCTGCACGCCCGCGATCCGGCCCGCGCTGCACCCGGGAGCAAGCCCGCCCTACTCGCTCCCAGGCCTGGCTGCCCTCTGCAAATATTCGAGCCTTTCCCGTTTTGATTTTTATTTCGCTTATATTAGAGCTGCAGAAGCCCAACTTGCCCGCCCCGCTGTACATGGCCTGCAAAACCCCCCCCCCCCCGCGTTCATGGAGCGTGCAAACCACGAGTAAATAAATACATGCCGGGCAGTGTAGCAAAAATTTCAGAAGGCAAAATTGCGAGGACTTTTAAAAAGACAAAGTGCGACTTTTAATGCCACTTTCCCCAACGTGCGGTGGGCTGCAGCTCTGGAGGGCGCCGACTTGAGAACGCTGCTACGATGCGACTGTTACATCCCGCTTTTTCCTCCCCCCGGGGCGGCCGGCAGGCACACGTTTTCCTGCTGCCCCGCAAAATGCCCGATGTCGTAGAAACCATTCACCGCTGCGATTGCTGCGAGACGCGCTTCCTGGTGCTTCAAGGTGGACTCGAGGAAGCTCGTTTGGCAGGCCGGGGCTCCGACCCCGCCGCTGCCCTGTGCTCGCCATCTGCCGGGCAGCCCTTTCGGGCGCCCGCGCCGGCTTCCCCGCTTCCCCGGAAGACAAGCTCAAAGGCGCCTGCAGGACGCGGCGAGCCAGCCGACGCCGGCCCGGTTCTGGACGCCCACGGAGAGCGCAGCCCTTGCGGAAGGAGCCCTCTGGGGCCCGCCGCGCCCCCCGTGCGATCCCCGCGGCAGCAGCCGGGGCCGCGTCGCTGTAGCGCGAGCAGCTGCGCCCGAGCGGCCTAGCACGGGTCGTTGCTCCCATTTTTCTCTCTCAAGAACCCGGGGCAGCTCACGCAACCCAGGCCGGCCGCGCAACAACTCTGCGGGGCAGGCCAGGCCAGGCGGAGAGGCAGAGGGGAGCAAGCCCACCCGGGAGCCTCCCCGCCCAGCTCCCTAATCGCGACGCCCCACAAGCTGCACTGAACACCCCGCCTGTGAGTATTTCGCCGCCCTTTCCCGTGGGCGGATAATTGCATTTTCTGCCGCGCAAAGGCGCTGCGGGGCCTGTTGGCGTTGGACAAGGCCACCCGGGGCAGGGGGCTGGGTAGCAAGCGGCGGGCAGGCGTCGCCGAAGACGGCCTGACGCTCGGGGAGCTTCTTGTGAAGGGCGAGCCCGCTCGCGCAGGTCTTCCGGGGCTCGTTCGCAGCGGGAGAAAGGGCCGCCTTGGCCAGGGGCTTTCTGTGCATCTTGGGGCGCTGGAGGGCAGGCAAGGCTGCGTGCTTGTTTGGAATAATTGGAAGCCATTTCCGACGCGGGAAGCCATTGCATTGCTGCTCGCTGCTGCAAAAGGAGGCGGTGCGGCGCGACGAAAAGCGCCCGTACTTCGACCGGACGGTTTGCCCTGCGCATTGACCCCAAGCACCGTGTTTTGCAGACTGCGGGCGGAGGCTGCGATCCGTCTGTGTCCCGCGCACGCGACGAAGACGAGTTTAGGCAGAGTCGCGCTCGCCGCTGGAGGCGCTCGCCCGCGGGCCCTTCGTTTGCGCGGGATCGGGTCACGCCGCGAGCACTGCCTCTTGCTCCCGTGCAGAGTCGGAAACGCGACTGCCAATTTAAGGCGGTGTGTTTGCAGGGGCTTTTTGGCTCGTGGAAGGCGCGGATTCACCCCCCCCCCCGTTCTGGGGTGGCGTGGGATGGAGAGGCCGCCGCCTCTGTTGCAATTGAAAGGCGTCCCCCGCGTGCGCATCGTAGGGGGAGTGGGTTATGCTAATGAGGAGGCGGGGCCTCGCCCGAATTGCGGAGCCGTTTTGTAGCGGGCCGAATTAGGAGTCTAGTTATTCTCCCCCGAGTGGCAGAAAACGAGTCGGGGGTCGGCGGCGGCGCCCGGGGGCGCGGGGGCTCTTGGTGGGACCTGCGGGGCGGCGGCTGGCAGAGGAGAGACAGGCTGAGACCCCCGAGAGTGCCGCAGCCTCCCATAACCTGAGCGACCAAGAGCGCCCGCCTGGTGCTTTCTGGCGAGGGCGGGAGGTTAAGACTATACTTTCAGGGATCATTTCTATAGTGTCCAACTAGAGAAGTGCACTCGAAAGTGATCGGTCGAGCGAACCACGAGGAGGAGTCAAAGCGTCCTCTTCTGAGCGCGAAGCGAGTGGGCAGTGCTGCCTAGTGCGGCTGCTGCCCGCGATTGATGACCGTTCTGGCTCCCTTTCCGAAGGGAGTTGGAGGGAGAGGATGCAGACTGAGTGGTTCGCAAACTCTTTTTATGCATGGTTGAAAAACAGATTTTATTTAGCTTTATTTACGGAAAAATTCTGTACATTCTAAAGAAAAGATGCTCTCGAGGCAGAATGGCCTCTTCTGGACCTTGACAATACTTTCCATCGGGAACCGTTTATTGTTCTTTTTACGGGAACAATGTATTATCTCGAGCGCGTGATCTCCACTGCCCCCCTTCCTGTATGCCCATTTTGGGGTGCTGTCCGGAACAGTTTCTCCGCTGTCAAAGGTGCGCCCGTGGCCCACGTCTTACACACGCTCCCCGAGCGGTTCTGGCTGCTGGTGGGCAACCCTGGCCCGGCTTCTCGCACCGAAGCCCCCGGAGTCTTCCTGGCCGCCTCCCGCAGAAAGGGGAGGTGACCGCTTGGCTGTTGCGAAGGCTCCCCGCCAAGATGCGCAGAGCCAAGACCTCGGCCGGCAGCAGCGACTTGCTTCCGAGGAGGCGCGGACAGGCCCGAAGGGCGCGTGCCCGCGCATCCGCGCGCAGCAAGGGACCCCTCGCGCGTGACCCGAGGGGCGATCGACTCGAGCCGCGAATCATCCCGAGACGGGGCTTGCCTGCAGAGCGCGCGCCAGTGCCGCGGAGCGTGAGCAACGTCCCTGGGCCACGTGCCGGTGGACTGCCAATGAGCGAGCTGGAGGCAAGCCCGTCCCCGGAAGAACGCGGTGGAGCATGATTGGTGGCCTGATTCGCGCTATGCAAATTAAAAACCATGGGGCTTATGGGTCTGTGCGGGTCTTCGGGCGATTGGGTCCGTTCGGAAGCATGTTTCAAAGAAATCCTACAGGGGAGACGCGGAGTCGCGTGTTTCGCGGGCAAGGAATGAATCTCGCGGGGCGGCTCGTGCCCTGGGACGGCGGCTGCCGTGACCTGCGGAGCAGAGGGAGAGAGCCAGGCGGGGAAGCCGACGGGAAGGAGATTAAGACTATACTTTCAGGGATCATTTCTATAGTGTCTAACTAGAGAAGTGCACTCGAAAGTGATCGGTCGAGCGAACCACGAGGAGGAGTCAAAGCGTCCTCTTCTGAGCGCGAAGCGAGTGGGCAGTGTTGCCTAGTGCGGCTGCTGTCTGCTATTGATGACCGTTCTGGCTCCCTTTTCGAAGGGAGTTGGAGGGAGAGGACGCAGACTGAGTGGTTCGCAAACTCTTTTTATGCATGGTTGAAAAACAGATTATACTTTATTTTTGTTTATTTAATTACGGTCAGCAAGAAACTTCTGTTTGCTGTTCTACTTCAGCTCTGAGGCCTCGTTGCTTTTATATTCAGCCCCTTGGGTAATCAAGTCGGAATGATCGGGGAGAACTCCAGCTTTTCATCAGTGCTTGGTATTTATTTCTCATTGTTTGCATTTTAAGATATATCATCCCTGCAACTGTAATTGGATTTGCGCATTGGAAAATAGAAACCACCGCAGTCGTCAACCTAAGATTGCAAATGTGTGTTTGGGAGAAAAAGAATAGTGTCTCACTGAATAGTTGCTATGACACAGAAAAAGTCGTAGTGTTGGTGTTAACTGAGAGAATTATCGAGAGTCCGTGTGGTTAAGGGCACCAGGCTGGGGACTCCGGAGATCCAGGTTCGAGCCCCCGCTCGGCCACGGAGCCAGCTGGGTGACTCGGGGCCAGGCACGGACTCTCTGCCCCACCTGCCTCACGGGGTTGTTGCTGCTGTGGGGATGAGAGAGCAGGCGAAGGAAGAGCGCGTCGGCCGTTCTGCGTTCTTTAAACAAGAACGGGCTGGGGTGTAAATCGAGCACAAAGCGAGCCATTGCCGTTTCCCCCTCCCGGTTTAACCAGGCGCGGGACTTCCCGTGCGCGGCCCGCTGCTGCCCCCCAGTGGCCGCCTGCACGAGTTGCGGGGAAGCGGCCGCCGTCCAGGAGGCGCCACCACCGAAGCAGCGCGCAGTGGAGTGCTCGGCCCTTTGGCCACCTGGCTCAGCGGCGCCCCCGGGGACCTCGCGCGGAGAGGGGCTCCCCCTCGCTCGTGCACTGTCTCTGCACCCACCTCCTCTCCTCTCCTCGGGGAAGTCCGGGCGGCCCCCAGGTGGTCTCCCCTCCCAGCTCAGGCCAGCCCGGAGCCGCTCGGCCTGGGCGTGCTGGTGCCTGGCGTGCCTTTCGGCCCTGCGTTGGGCCGCTCGTCGCCTGACGCCACCAGGGCTGCGTGGCCCTCAGAGGGGGCCTCCTGAGCCCCGGGCCTCCTGAGCCCCGGGTTCCCCGCCCAGAGCTGGGCCACGACCAGGTGGCCTCCACGGCCCCCTCCAACTTTGCATTTCTTGAGCTGGGTTTCGGTTTCTTCTGCGCCAAGGAAGGTGTTTAGCTGCTTGCTCAGGAACTGCTGGCAAAACCCCTGCGAATCTGAAGTAAGCTAAAAGTAACTCCTAAAGATAGTGCAGAGTGTTTCCATCAACAAGTCCAACTCATTTCAACATCTGGCAAGACGTGGGGGGGGGGGAGTGCTCTAATTCCCAGCATTCCCCAGGCAGTAGAGCAGGTTGGGGCATGCTGGGAGTTGTAATCCCTTTCCCTGCCTCAATATGCATACATAAATAATGTTGCTAATTAACGGTATCAGAAGCCAGCCTTACTGAGTATAATATATATATTTCCCGGTAGCTGACGCTCTCAGGGCGGTGCACAAACGTTAAGGAAGGATGAAAATGTACTTAAGGTGCCGGATAAAATGTGGGCGTGGCTTTGGCCGTGGGGACCAGACGGGGCCCCGTGGGGAGGGTTTCGCCGCCGAGCTCGCCCAGCGCAGACGCTCCGCGGGGCAGCCCGTGCCCGGGGGAGCCTTCCCTGCCCAGCCCCGGGGAGCAGCGCGGGGCGCGGCGCGGCGCAGCGAGCAGTCCCGGGCCGAAGGGCCGCCGTCCTTCCGCGCCCGCGGAGGGGCTCGTCGCCCCGCGAGCTCCGCCGGCCGCCCCCCCCCCCGCGCCCGGCGAGCGTGCCTCCTGGCTCACAAACGCGCGTTCCAACGCTTGCGCGGGCGCGGCGTCCCGGCGGGGAGGGGAGCTTCGCGGGGGAGCAGCCCCCGGGGTGAGCCGCGTCGGGGGCGCAGCCTGGCTGCGGGGGGGGGGGGGCGGGCGAGGCGGCCGAGGGGGGCAAAGCAGGGGAACTGCCCGCCCCGGGCCCGGCCGGGGACGGGGACGGGAGCGGCTCCCTCTCCGATTCGACGCGCGTCGCAGGGCCCCTGGACGGGCGTGCGCGCCGGGGGAAAAGCCGCCCCCTCCTGCGGCCTCGCCCGCGGAAGGCGCCCCTGGTGGGCCCGCAGGCCCGCTTCGCTCGGCCCCATTCTGCGTAGAGACGCCGGTGGCCTTGTTCGGTAGCTCGGTTGGGAGAAGAGGCCCCCCCCCCCGCGCCGCCCACCGCTCGCCCGTGGTCCAGCTGCAGTGGTCAAGGAGATGGAGGGCGTTTGGGGTTAACCTGCGGGCAGCCAAGAACCCGCACATTCAGGTCCTTGGAATCCTGATCGGGCCTTCAGGTGCAATGCTAGGCATGTTCAGGCAGAGAAAAATGCCCCACAGCAGTAGGCTTTGCAAGAGCTCTCTCTGTCCAAACATAGATAGGATTGCACCCTTGGTGTGGGGTTTTTTTTGGGGGGGGGCTGGATATGTAGAACCAGTGTCTGAGCCATTTTGCATGGCATCAGTGAGACTTCTTTTGGGAGCGATGTGTCTGTGCGTAAGAGAAAGAAAAGTGATGCTGAGTCCCCATGCTTTGAAAGAGAGCAGAGTCCTAAAATTGCCTTTTAATACATGTATTTATTTATTACATTTATATCCCACTTTTTCAGGAAGAATGGCCCATATCCCCCCTGTTCCCTGCCCAGTCAAGCTGGGAAGCTTAAGAAATGAGTCCCCAGATGCTCAGCTCCATCAACACGTCAAGGAAGGCAACTTTATCAAAGTGAAAAAGCTTCTTAAAAAGGGTGAGACACTGCATCAGCTAGGAAAGCACTCAGAAGCAATTTTTTAATAGCTTGGAAAGTTCAAATATCATAGGAAAATAGATGGGCAAGGGTAAGGAATGGTGCCAATCTTTTGAAGTGCAAGCATTTAAATTTATTTCATTTCTGCAAATGGGTTTGTGGTTAGCAACTCAGAATTAATCCTTAGAGTAGCATGCCGGCTGAGGAATTCTGGGAATTGTAGGACTTCTTTTCTGTGTAAACATAAGACCGCCCTCAGACGGGTTGGTAACATCATTAATGTTATACTAGAACTGGTTTAAAGGGAGTTTAAACAGGAATTGGATGAGGCATGAGATTCTGCATTCTTCACAATGTCGTTGTCTTCTTCAGGAGTCTCCGTTCACACCATTAACTCCTTAGGACAGACTCCTTTATTTACAGCAGCCTTACTCGGTAATGGGAAAATTGTCGATATTCTTCTGGACTATGGTTCGGATCCGAATCAGTAAGTACATTTTTTGTTCTAAGCTTCCAAATATGTGGACAATTCCCAGAATCTTAATTGTGTGTGTGTTTTCAACAACCCTGGATATCTTTGCCAAGAATTTCAATCACAGTGTCTTAGACTTGTTTTAAAAAAAGATTAGCTCAGATTACACCTATCCTAGATAAATACCAGCAGCCACCTTGGAAGATCTAAATGTACCTGATTGTAAGGTTTTCCGACGGAGAAGCACAAGCAGCGGGGAAAAGCCCGGCCTGAGCTTAGCTTCCACTTGCTTTCTTTCTTCCTTGAACAGTTTCTGTTTGAGCTGTTCCCTATAAAACAATATAGCTTTCATCCCTGTTGCATAAGTTTGCTTGTTTTCCCCTTTCTTCTCCATCCCTTCTTGCCTTTGTATTAGATTGTTGCCCTGTGATTCATGGCTGTTGCAGAGTTACAGTGCTTAATAAATTTCAAACCATGACAATAGAATGTGCTGCTATTTATTCCTAGTACCTTGCATTTTTGTGATGGATCTTGTGGGTCATTTTAGCAGCTGGTCTTTCTCACAAGTCGGGGTGAGACATACTAGAGGCATAATGCAGGTTTCTTTGGGCACATGGGTAGATCCGTACGTGGTGCATTTTCTTCTCCCGCGTTCCTTATTTTCTCAGCCGCTGTTACGATGGGAGCACTCCAGTCCATGCAGCTGCTTTCTCCGGCAACCAGGTGATTCTCAGTAAATTGCTGGAGGCAGGTGGAGACCTGCGCGTCCACGACAGGAATGGGAGGAACCCGCAGAACTGGGCTCTGACCGCTGGGACAGAAAGCAGCGCCCAGGTGCGTGGTTTCGGCCTTTTGCCCAAAGGTTTCCCTCTTCCCCAGCCTTTGCTGGCAACTTCCGTTTGTACCAGCAACATTTGAATAATGTTTTCTGCTCAGCTGTGCTGTGATACTGCTTTGCCCATCACAAGGACACCAACAAAGAAGTTGATTTTTTAAAAAATCCCTACGCTCAGTATTTATCAATTTTTATAAAGTTGCTTTTCCTTCTTGCCTTTGAGGTCTCCTATTTTCACACTTGAAAGTGTTCACTGGGACACAATTCTGGGTTGCTTTTTCTGTTCCAGATGCTTGAGTTTATCCAGCGCTGTACAATGCACATGCAGTCCGCCCTTCAGAATTACTCTGTGGACCAGCTCAGGAAGGTGGGCTCCCCCAGAGACCTGGTCTGTAACCCTTCCAAGCTTGGGGGCATTACACAGGGGTAAGTGCCGGAAGAGTCACACGGTCTATGTTTAGTCGCAGTTCTAAATTGGCAAGGAGGAGGAGATGCAGACTTAGGTGGGTCAGGCTCAGCATGCAGCCAGTGCTGCTCCAAAAAGAGGTAAATAATAGCCCTTGAGAATATAAAATCCAGGAACCGCCTGCGTCTGTCTCCGGAGCTGCTCACTTTGCAGAGCCGTCCTCCTGAAATTTGAAGGCATGTGTCTCTCTCTCTCAGTATAGGAGGTTACCCTGAACCGGGTTACCGCTCCATCGATCATATTAGACAGATAACCTTCCTTTGGCGAGACCCTAGTTACACAATCCTCTCATCAGTTCCCGCTTCTGTACTCATTCTGAATCCTGGACGTGGCTGCCTTCTCTCTGAGTGGAGGAGGCTGCCGAGAGCAAAGCTGCTTTTCCTGCATAACTTCCATTTCAGTTCGGTTCTTTAGACAAGCACATGGATGCCCACCCCATCCTTGCCCCGTCTTCACGAGCCTGGTCTCCATTTCCCTCTTCCCCTTCCAGCTGCCCAAAATTCAAGAGTGCTGGGAGAGAGAGGTTAAGGGGGAGCACAGCAGTTGTACTTCCTGCAAGCTGCAAAGGAAACAGACATGAACTTATCTTTCTAGTGCCAGCCATTTTGAATTGCTAGCTTTCCCAAAAGCACCTTGGAACAACCTTCTGGGGGAAAAGAAAATGTTTTCTCTTCTGATTCTATTTTTCCTCCATTTCCCCAAAAGTCTTTTGTCACTCCTAAATGGAGGTGAAACATTAAAAAAAGTTCTTCTAGATTTAGCAATGCAATTCCTAAAAGACTGGGGATCACTTGTCTGTTGGATTCAGGTCCTGCATATCACCGAACAAGGGGCAACTTTCTCTCCATACCTGCCATGCTTCAGGAGCTCAGCTGACAGATTAGCTAAATTGAAGGAACGGTGGCTTATGGCCCGATAGCCGAGTCTTTGTCTTTTAACCTGGACAGGTCTAAAGGACTATAATGAAAAGGAGACTTCGGTAGGGACTGGCTCCGCTGAGCTAGGACTCAGTTTTCATTGGTTTAAATGATGATCTTCAAATTGATTGTGTCTTTTCCTGCGATCATGGCCTGCCTTCGAAACAAGTGCTCTGACAGCCCCTCTCTAGCCCGACTTTAAATACTGAAATGGATCTGGTGCCTTTCCGAGGAGAGTTTTGGGTGCTTGCAATGGAATATGTCTGGTGCCCACCCCGTCCCCCACATCACGCTGTTGGGAAGTGGGGCAAGAGACCCCTGCCTCCTCCTCTGTTCTCTGTTCTGCCCTTCAGGACAGCCGACAGCCCCCTGGGAAGGTTCCTGAAGCGCAGAGGCAGCATGTCCCAAAACATTTTCAGCTTTGGGTTTGGCAAGGTAAGAGGTCAGATGTTCCAGCCCGTTTCCCTTCAGCAAGCTGGTGGAAGAACTAATTAGGAACTCCCAGGGTGGCTTTCGGGCATTTCCCGTGGGCAAAGGACAGCAAAGCAAGCCAGCAACCGCTGCGCTGCTTTATTGGTCCCTCGCGCTGGGACGGGTCCCTGGCAGCACATGGGCAGCCTTGGGCCAGCTGGCCTGGCCTGGGTGCTTCCGCTTGCGATGGCCCTGACCCGGAGTGGCGGCTGGATCAGAGGAACAGGCCCCCGGTGTGGAGCCAGATTGTGGGGGTCCTGAGCCAGAAACCTGCACACTAAGCGTCCCCCCCCACCCTGCAGGCAGCACCCAAATTCCTCTAGCGACAAGCTTTCACAGCAGGGAGTCCACCCGCATGGGTGGGGCACAGGGGGGGGCCACGAAGGTGGGCAGGGTTTTCCTCCAAATAGGAGCCCTGGGGGACGCGAGGCCGTGGGGGGCGGTCCAGCCTGATCTGGGCCAGCGATCTGCTCGGAGCCGTGCAGGGGCCTGAGCCTCTGGCTGAGCCGTCTGTCCTGGCTCGCTGCAGTCATGTCTGTCTTGTGTGGGGCAGGGCAGGATTCAGCCCCTAGTCCAGCCCCCAGCATTCCCAAGCAAGGCTGGGAAAGACTCCCCCCCCCCCCCCCCCCCCCCCCCCCCCGGAAAGCCAGTGCCAGCCAGTATCTTTATTTACTGTTCTTTGCTTATTTATCTCCTTTATATCCTCTCCTCCTCCCCCCTGTCCCAGTTTTATCTCACAAGCAGCAGGCAGCTGGGTTATCTGTCTTCACTCCCGATCATTGCAGATAAAGAGGTGGTTCAGGCGGATGACGAGCCAACCTTCTCCTTTCCTGCTGGACCCTATATGATCATGACCAAGTGAGTTTCTTGCAAGGACTGGATGGGCCGTTTGAAGTGGGGGAGGGTCTTTCCCCTCAAGGCTCTCTCCCCTCAAGACCTACTTGCCCTCGGTTCCCCTCCCCTGAGATTGATGCTCTGACTCGGTGCAAGGTTTAAATCACACCCTCAGAACAATGAGGGCTAGAATCTTCTTTTGCTTAGGATCAGAGCTGCATGGCACAGTAGCAGCATCGCATTTTCAAGCCCCTACCTTCTGTTCCTGGCACAAAACCTCTGCCTGAGAGCCTGGAGAGCCGATGGTGCCAGGCAGTGATGACCATACTGGGCATGGGAATCTGATGGTCTGACACGCACCAGAGCTCTTTGGAGCCGAGTTGGTGATCCATCCGAAAGAGAAAGCAGAAGCTTTCACTGGCCCAGCTCATGAGTCCAGCGCTCTCTGCCTTCTAAAGGAAAGGTCCTCCGTATGGGCCGCCCTTCGACGACATAACCTTGAGGAAGGAAGGAGGAACAAAATATCTGAGGCCAAAGGAAAAACAAGTGGAATATTGGGGTTCAGGGCAGCGATCGGGTCGGTTTCAATTTTAAAACGGGGCTCGACGTCTTCATGACAAGGCAGAGCGCTTTGGCAAACGCTGCCTTGCTTCTCGCAGTTTGATGTGGGGCGGGAGCCGCATCACGGTGAAGGAGCTCAACATGAAGCCCCACCCGCACTGCAGCAAGCTGCGCCTCGGGGACCTGCTCCTGGCGGAACAGGAGTACAGCAGGTACGAGCCCCTTGCTGCGGCTTCCCAAATCCGCTCCTTTCTTCCAGCCCTGGTGCTCTTTCCCAGCCAGGGAGCCGGGAGGGCGGGGCCTTTTTCAGACCGAGGACTCAATTCCTTTCCAGAGAATATCCTGGAGGGTGCTGCCCTCCGGCGTTGGCGAGTGCCCAGAGCAAAAGAAGTGGTGCCCCAGCCGCGTTTTAGCTTGAACCTTTCGAGTGGCAATCGCCAAGCTTTAGGAGAGGCGTTTTAGCTTTTTAGAATGGTGGGAAGAAGCTGTGCAGACGCTTGGTGGTCGCTCGGGGAAAGGGCGAGGTGGTGGCGAGGATGCGGCCGCCTGGGAAAGACAGACTGGGACTGCAGGAGAGGTCAGGTGCACCCCCGGGCCGGAGTTCCCCACCCCGGCCTACCCTGATGGGAGGACCTCTGCTGCCCCGCCTGTGGGGTGTCACATGCCCAGGCCGGGCCCAGGAATTGGGTAATAGGATCGCACCAGCAGCATACGTTGGGCTGAGCGCATCTCCTCCTCTCCCGTTGCTTGGATGGTGGCGCAGGCGGAATATCCCCCAAAGCTCCCTAGTATCGGCTCACCAGCTTCAGTGGCTTGATCAGGTCACTGGTCCTCTACGTGCCCATTATCGCCCCAAGTAGGCGTGGTCTTGGTTGCTTCGTTTGGCCCCAAGTCAGTCGGGAACGAGAGGCAGGTGCTTTCCGCAGGATTGGGCGCCTTCCAGCAGGGAAAGGGCCTTCTGTCGCCGTGTGGTCTCTTCCGTATCGAAGGGCTTCTCTCCCCTTGCAGCAAGCTTCGCCACCCCCACCTGCTGCAGCTGATGGCCGTGTGCATGTCGCCCGACCTGGAGAGAACGCGCCTCATCTTTGAGAGGGTCGCCTTCGGGACGCTGTACAGCATCCTGCACGAGCGGGTACTGTGGGTGTTAGTGCACGGATCGGCCGATTGCGTCCGCCCCCCTTTCCAGCCACGGCTGTTCCCCTTGATGCAGCCTTCTCCGCGTCCCCCCCAGGAGACCCCCGCCAGCTGAGGCCCCGCCCGTCCCGCACCTCGTGCCAGCCCTCCCTGTCCCCTCGGCCTGGCACAGTGGGCATGGCGCCCTTTCCAGGCGTGGCTTCCTCCAGATACTTGGACTGCAGCCCCCGTCATCCCAGCTCTAGGCCGTGCTGGCAGGAGCCGATGGCAGTTGCCGCCCGAAACATCTGGGGGGCACCCGGTCGAGCCACGTTGCGCCGCTCTCCAGGGCCTGGGATCCGGGTCTAAGCCCCTGTTCGGCCCTCTTGCCTCACTTGTCGTTTCTGGGCCTACCCTACTTGGCAGGCTGGTAGGGGCATGCGCCACCCTGTGCCTCTTGGAGAGCAGGTGGAGTAAAAGTCGCTGCAATAATAGAAAGGAGGGATGCGGGCGAGGGAGGAAGCGGCACTCCTTGCTTCCTGAGCACCTTTCAGGATGAGGCGTTTCCCTCTCTGGGGCGGGTCCGGGGGCGCAGCTGCGGCTTCCCCGGACAGGCTGCTCCGTCGTCATCCCCGCTCTGCTGTCCCTGCACAGAAGCCACGGACGCACAAGCAGCCGTCTCCCTGCTGTTCCCTCTCAGCGGCAGGATGAGCCTGCATGGCTCCAGGGCTGGCGATGCAGCACGCCGGGGTCCCTTCTAGCGGGAGGAGGCATGCCGAGCCCCTGCCCTCACCCCATGGCGCCTTCCGGGGAACGGGCTTCCTCTCCGCGGCTGCCCTTCCCCTCACCCCCGTCCATTCCTGCCTTCCAGCGTTCCGAGTTCCCCGTCGTGCACATGGAGACGATCGTGCACTTGCTGCTGCAGGTGAACGACGCCGTGCGGTTCCTGCACTCGCGGGGCTACGTCCACCGCACGCTCAGCTCCTACGCCGTGGTGGTTGTCCTGGCCGGGGAGGCCAAGCTTACCAACCTGGAATACATGGTCGAAAGGTACAGGCTCGCTCGTTCCCGCGGCCAGCATTGCTCGCCTACCTATTTCTTTCTTACATTTATGCCCCACCCTTTTTCTTTGTTGAAGAACTCAAGGCGGCTCGCCTCATTCTCCTCCTCTCAATCTTATCCTCACAACAACCCGGTGAGGTAGGTTGGGCTGAGAGCCTGTGCCTGGCCCAGAGTGACTTGGTGAGCTTCGTGGCTGAGTGGGACTCGAACCCGCACCTCTTGCGTCCCAGTCCTGCATGTTAACCATTATGCTCCACTGGCTGTCTGGCTAATGAAAGGTCCTTTCTTGCAAAGGCCGCAATTGTGCATGCAGGAGGGAAAGATTCGCACGTTGCATGCAAGGCTCTGAAGGGAGGCATGGGTTCTAACGCTCCCCTGTTATAGTCTCTACCTTTCTGTCTGCACAGTCCTGCTCCTTCTGTGGCACAGCCCTACCCTGAATGCTCTTCCTTGTTTTTGCTAAGCCTGGGCAAAACTTTGGGATACTAGCCCTCATGGCTAAATAGATAATTAGGCTGCTGCTAATATTTGAAAATCGTTTCTGCTTTTTGTTCCCTGTTTTCCAAAAGTCAGCTGAACACTCCCTAGCTTCAGAATGCTTGTTAGATCTTGAACAAAGAGTATTGCCAAGACAGGTGACACCCCAGGTTTTTGGGGACTCCGGTTGCCATCGACCCTCGCCATACTCTGTGCTGGCTAGGGTTAATGGACATTGCAGTCCAACGACGCCTGGAGGGCCGTTGCTTCCCCATCCCTGAGCTGACACGGAAGGCGGACTCCTTCCCGCGCGCTGAGCATCTCGGTCTTCTCTTTGGGCAGCCAGGACGGGGGGGAGCACAGCGACCTGACCCGGGTGCCCATCCCTCCCCAGCTGTATAAGTGGTGTGCTCCAGAAGTGATCCTCGAGCGAACCGCAACCGCCAGGTCGGACATCTACAGTTTCTGCGTGGTGATGCAGGAGGCATTCACAGGTACATGTCGCCAAGAAGGGGCAGAAGTGCAGAAGCTGGGAAAGCTGTTTCCCTGCAAGCGCTCATCTCAAAGCCACCGGCCACCTCCCCCTTTGCCTGGAATAATTTCTCCAGCCAGTGGCTCGACTTCCCCTTCCCAGCCTCTTCTCGGGAGCCTTCGCCCAAATCCTCCTGTTACTGGTGCTTGAGCAGCGCCGACCTGGTCTGGGGGTCCCCGCTCGGCCCTGAAGCTGGCCGAGGGTCTGCATTTGAGCAGTCCCATAGCGGGGGAGAGACGGAGGACTGGTCGGGTGTGGGCTGGTGTCTCAGCATCTCCCCCCCCCCCCCCCAGTTATTCTTAGAAGGGCTTTTGGTATTTCCGCAAACCCCCTCGACCCTGTTTTGGTCTTGCCTCCACTATGCTATGCTTGTATGTTTGGAAATTAAGGCAACGATACAAAGACACCTCATGGCTCAAGCGTTCTCTCATCTAGAAAACCCCACAATTTAAAATGTTGTAGCAGTGCCCCAGACCTCTCACTGCGTACAGTTTCGTCACAACATCCTGTATTGCATTTAACGGAAATAAAAATCCACGCAGCTTGCCTCAGTGTATCAGAATCACAGCAGCCTCATTCCAGTTCTTCATTTGCTTTGTTTAGTGATAGCAACAACTAAAAAATAGGGAGTCAGAAAACTTGGTGAACTGAAAAGGTTGGGTGTCCAGAGATCGCCTGCGGCTGAATTCCCCCCTTCCTGGTGAGCCTTGACCCATCTGAGCGCGTGTTTTCCAGACACCGTTCCCTGGGACGGACTTGACGGCTCGGCGGTCCGGGACCTCCTCATTGCCGGGCAGTGCTTGGAAGCCGACGCCCGAGTCCCCAAGCCCTACTACGGCCTCGTGAAGATCGGCCTGGAGTCCAGGCCGAAGCAGCGCGCCCTCAGTCTGCAGGATATCCGCTACATCCTGAAGAGCGACTTCAAGGTGACCTGCAGGGCTCCTGGTGGGGTAGGAGGAGGCCTCCAAGCAAGCCGTGCAGCACAGCCACGACTCTGCGGCTGCCCTCCGTAGACGTCTCTCCGCTTCCCTCCCCGCCCTTCCCCAGGACGCACTTCTGCTCTTGCAGCTCTGCGTTTTCTCTGCGCACCGCTGGGCCGGTGTGGCTTGCTTTGCTCTGCCGCCTCTGGGCATATGCTGTTCTCCCAAAACAAACCCCCTCCTTTCCTCTCTGTTCTCTTGTCTGCCCAAAAGGTGCCAGTGGGGAAGGGTGCCCCCAGGCCGGCTGAAACAAAACGGCACATTCAAAGGAACCCCAGCAGCATCCCCACTGTGGCCTCGGGGGCGCAGGGCAGACGCACCGCCTCCCCCGAGATTCTCTGGCAGGACTCGGCTAGCGAGGCCTGTGGGCACTGTGTCCCTCTCCTTCCACCGGACCTCCGCAGGCCAGAAGGCGCTGTGGCGCTGCAGCTTTTCCGAGCCGCACTGCCCTCCAGGTTCACCGGGGTGGCCCTTTTGCCAGCCCCCGCGGGGCAGTTGAGGCGCGTTTGCTCTTGCAGGTGCTGCATTTGGCAGGAAGGTACTTTGGAGGTCACAGCCTCCACGCTGAGTGCAGCCGTGCCCCATCCTCCCATTGTCTGGGGGGCCAAAAAGAGCCTGGACGCTGGCTATGGACAGGGCAGGTCCATTGCGGTTCGGTGAGGGAGAGGCGTTCTTGGTGGGGCGGCTGATGGGAGGCGTCCTCGTGGCCTCACAGAGCTTCCAGAAGGGTTTGTCTGGGCTGGAGTTCCAAGACCTCTTTTCCTTCTGTGCTGCTTCGCCTTCATCATCCAGTCATTTCCGTGACCGTGGAGCAAAGTGGGAGTAAATCCAAAGGATTCGGTATTCTGAAGGCCACCATTGTAGGGTTTCTACCGTTCTGGACAGTAATGAGGCGACCGCATGTTTGCCTCCGTTCCTCCAAGCCAAGATAGGTTAATTGTGGCGCAGCCACTTCTGCAGGACTGAGAAGCCGGTGTTGTGGTTGCCTCTGGCAAGTTAGAATCTCTTCCAGGCGATCCCACAGATGCATCCAAATAGGCATCCAGATGCAGATTTGGAGCCTGGTTGCCTTCTGCAGATTTTAAGCGTGTCTCTCATGTTTAAAAAGCATTCCAACATTCTAGTTCTCATGGATTCCAGGGAAAGCCTGGAATTGGGACGGCAGTAGGAGATGAAGAAACTGGAGAGGCTTCACGTGACCTGCAGCGGTCAGGAGGCTCATCTCCAAATCTTGCCTTGTGCAGCCAGAATATGTCAGTCCACAGAGTGTGTGGCTTCAAGCCTAGTGGTTATGGACTCCCAGCAGCACTGGGAGGCTGCAGGGGAGAGGGGTGGCTAGGACAAGGGGCCTCCCTCCTGTGACAGCGTCATTCCCTGTCGTAGGATCTGATGGAGTCCCGCAGGAGCCGTCCCGGTGAGCGTCCTGGGCCTCCCAGGCCAGAAGCCCGCCCCGACATTAACATCTGCCTGCCATCCGCCTCGGCCTTCTCGGCCAAGATGCCAGAACTGCAGGGAGAAGTCGCCCGCGTTGGTCTGTGTCCACACTTTGAGCCTGGCCTCGCTGCCTCGAGGGGACGGGGAAAGGGTGGCGGGTTTGGGGTAGCGTTCCTCCTGAGGCGAACCCCAGCTGTGCGCTGGCGTGAGGAGATGGGAGCAGCTTCCACCAGGAGCCCAGTGGGCGGAAGGAGGCTTCCTTGGCAGAGGGGCGTGTGCAGCTGACTAGATGGCTCCCTCTTTCAGCGGGGAGCCAGTCTCACGAAAGGAATTTCAGGGTTCTGGCCAGAGTCCTGCCCTCCCTTTCTCAGTCTCTCAAGCCTGGGGAACTGGAGGCCTCCCGGGAGTCATTGCTGCGTCTTCCATCCGTCCTAGCAGCCAGAAGGGCAAGAGGTCAAGGTTGATGGGAGCTGTAGTGCCGCAGTGTCTAGGCAGCCGCTGGTTCCCCAGCTCCTGCTCGGAGTGCAGCCTTGCCTCCGGGTGCCCGCAAACGGAGCCTCAGGGGGGCTTTGGAGAGGGGTCTGCCGGGCGCAGGGGGAGCATCCCTGCATTCGGGCTCAGCACTCAGCCACTGCTTTCTCAGCCAGGAGTTCCGTGGCGCCAAGCTGTGCCGTTTCCGTTCCCGAGAGCGAAGCCGCCGTGGCCCACGAGGCTGAGCCGGAGGTCCGCCTGGCCCAGTCGAGCCCAGCCCTGGAGGCGGCCGGCAGCGCCCAGGACGCCAGCGACATGGATGAGAGCCTCAGCAGCTTCGAGATCAACGAGATCTACTCGTGCTATCCAGAGCTGTGTGGGGAGAGCGGCGGGGAGCGGTCGGCAGGGCCGAGCCCGGAAGCCCCGAAGCTGCTGTGCATTTCCTCAGGCGAGAGGGCCGAGCGGGCCGAAGCCTGGTCGCTGCACTTTGTGGAAATCCAGAGCCGGCGGACGAGCTGCAGCGAGGAGGGCAGCGCCGAGGCCGGAGGCGGCCGGGAGGAGCCGAGCGACGTGTCCGAGGCTTCCCCACCGCGCCGGGCAGCCCGGTGCGCCAGCAGCGGGCCCTGGCTCCGTCATCCCCCCTTCGAGCAGAAGTTTGCCAAGTGTGTCCTGGATCTGAAGTTCTGCCAGACAATGGTACGCGACCTAACGGCCAGTTTTGGCAGGACGGAGAGGGAACTGCATCAGGCGACGGCCTGCCGAAGGCAGCCCCCACCGCGCCCGGGGGGCCAGGGCGAGCAGGACAGCATCGCGGACGCCCTCCGGAGCCACGCAGCGCAGGTGGACGCTGCCCTGCGGAACTTCACGGTGCCCTACAGCGGAGACAGGGCGTTCCTCTGGAAGCCGGTTAGCCCTCCGACGAGGAACTATATCCCCCTACCGCTGCGCGTCCCGGGCACGGACCGGCCCCTGGATGTGTTCTCCATCCGAGCCATTGAGGGCGAAGGGCCGGGCGAGGACAGGAGCCAGGACACCACCCGCTGGAGCAGTCCTCCCTCGAAAGTGGCTTGGAGCTGTGGGGAGAGAGGAGAAGGAGCAGAACCGAGCTACCAGGCAGGAGCAAGGGTCCCCCCCATAATGCTTGCAAAGCAGATGGCCCACTGCAAGGACCGTGCTGGGCACCTGCTGCTCCGGCGCAGCGCAGCTGATGCCGTACTGAGCGTGACGGGCCCTGCGGCGTTCTTGCCGCAGCAGGCTCGTGCCTGCAGATCGCTGCTCTGAAAAGCGGGGGCTGCATTTTGGGGCGCGCTCGGTGCACTGGGGTGATGCCACGGGGGATGCTGGAATTCCACCCTCACCGCTCGCCCCAGGTTCCAGTCATTTCAGCACTGCAACGGGGGCGAGGGGGGGTTCCGTGGAAACAGGATGATCAGGCAGTGCCATGTTGAAGCAACCCACCCTCCCCGCTGCCTGGTCCTGGCCGAATCGGGGCTGACTGGAGCGCTTTTTCAGCTCTTACACCCAGGCGTGTCCTTCAGGAGGAGGAAGACTGTGAGCTCGCAGCCGCTTCGAAGTAGCTCCACAATAGACGGACTTCAAGCTGCAGGCGGGTGAGCGTTGTTCCCAAGGCGGGAGGAAAAGAGAACTGCAGCCAAGCGAGGGAGCCAGCCGAGCTTAGTTCGAGCTCGTCGGGTCCGCCCCAGCCCAGCACCTGTTTGGAGCCGAGGCTGTGCCTGGGCTGCGCCTAGAAGCAAACCTCTGTGCCGAGGTGGCCTGCACTTTGCACCGCGGGAAACGGGTCTCGGAGGCCTGTGTCGCTGCTGCATGGCTCAGGCACGGCTGGCGTAGGCCTCCCTGGACGGGGCCCCCCTAGCAACCCTTCATATGCCTCCGTGAAAGGCGGTAGGGTGGAAAGGGACATGACGACGGTGCTGATGTATGAACTTTCCCTGCCTGAGACTCTGCACCACGTGTGCCTTGTAGGTTCCCCTCCGAAGCGTTGCCCAGAATGTACGAATCGGGCCTGAGGAGCGAGGAGAGGAGGATGGCCCAAGCCGAGTGGATGAGTGAGCATCACTGCTGCACCTCCCCTTTATTTCCTCGGAGCGCTGCAGTTCCCTCGCCCTGCGGCAGCACCGCAAACCTGCGCGTGTTTTCGCTGTCCCATGTGCGCCCTCAGCGCCTCCTCCAAGGTCTGGCGCATCTTTGAGGGTTACATAGCGCATCCCTGCTGGGAGGCTGGGCTGAGGGGCAGCCAGCGGGGATTTGGGCCGCAGGACTCGCGGGCCCTGACAAGACCCGCCGCAGCCGTGGCTCCCACCTTTCCTGCTGCCAAGGAACCCCCGTGGATCTGTTTCCCACGAGCTCCCAGGCGGCAGGAGCGCAGTGAGGGGTGTGTGAAGAGCCCAATCCTACGGATTTTCATCCTTCAGCCCCCCAAATGGGGCTTGATGCTGGCGTAAAAGGTTTCCCGTCCATCTCTTGAGGGGGACGACAGTGTGCACTTTCATCGCACGCAGAGCGCCTGGTGTGCGATACTCAGCGTGTCCAAGAAGGGCTGGAGAAGCCCCCTGTCCGTGGGGAGAAGGTGCCAGCCAGCCCCGGCATCCAGGGAGCAGTGGCCTCACTCGGGCAGGGCAGGGCACGGCCTCATGGCCGGGCAAGAGGGTCCCAAGCTGAGCTGCAGGGGAGGTCATCTGGTCGTGGCACAGCTCTGGGCGGGGAACCCGGGGCTCAGAAGGCCCCCTCTGAGGGCCACGCAGCCCTGGTGGCGTCAGGCGACGAGCGGCCCAACACATGGCCGAAAGGCACGCCAGGCACCAGCACGCCGAGGCCGAGCGGCTCCGGGCTGGCCTGAGCTGGGAGGGGAGAGCACCTGGGGGCCACGGGGACTGCCCAGACTTCCCCGAGGAGAGGAGGTGGGTGCAGATACAGTGCACGAGCGAAGGGGAGCCCCTCTCTGCGCGAGGTCCCTGGGGGCGCCGCTGAGCCAGGTGGACAAAGGGCCGAGCACTCCATTGCGCGCTCTTCCCCGCGACTCGTGCAGGCGGCCACTGGGGGGCAGCAGCGGGCCGCGCACGGGAAGCTAGGGCCCAATCCCGGGCATGTTCAGGAATAAAACGCCTACAGCCCTGCTGACGGGAATGCTGGGAGTTGTAGGAACCTGTCGAAACCTGCTTGCTGTCCCCCGTCCCCCCCACAGAGCAGGTGCTTCCCGCATCCCCAGCAAGGCCTTGCACTTGCGGTGGACACGGACCCTGTGACAGCACTGGGACTCCCAGTGCCAAAGAGGAAGCAGGGAGCCTTACCCTTAAATCGCACATTCGTCAACCCACTGCTAGGATGCTTTTAAGTGAGGGATTTGCGCCCCCCCCCCACAGTGAGTTAATCAAAGTAATTTGCATAGAAACTGAAGGAAGGGAGAAGGTTAACAACCTAATCGAGAAGCCAGGGCTTATTTGAAGGGAAGGGGAAGCGCTCATTCTCTGCAAATGTTGTGCCGGTCCATGTCCGGGCCCAGCTCAGAGTTCTGCTGTTAACCCTTGGACCCCTGCACAGCTTGGGCCAGGTTATCCGAGGGACTGTCTCTTCCCATTTTGACCTACCTGGACGATGCTGAAGTCATTGTCCGAGACTCTCCTCCAGGAGAGACAGGGTGGGGGGCGGCAAGAGGGAGGGCCTTTCTTTGGTGGTGCGCTGCCTGCGGAACGCCCTTTCTGAAAGCCCTCCTTTGGCCGCCTGCCTCGCAACCTTTTCAGGGCCACAGAGCTGTTTCATGCCATTTAGTGCGGAGCAGGCGGGCTGGGCTCGATCGAAGCAGCTTTTGATCAGGCAACGCGTGAGATGCTGCCTTCGGATGTATCCCGATCGCTCGTGGGGGAGATGTCCGCGACCCCGGCCCGAGCTTCAGTGCCAGGAGCAGATCCAAACCTCCTGATACGGGGTCCCTGGCTAGGTCCAAAGTGGGGCTAGGGGTGCTGCGATAAGGATACATGGGGGTCAGGGAAGCTCAGGACCCCCTTTCCTTCCAATGCTCAGATCATAGTACAGGGCAGAGCAGTGATCGGCCCGCCCGCCTTTCACTGTGCCCCCCTTTTGCTGCTGTGGCGAGGCAACGGGAGGGGGCCTCCGTGATTTGGCAGAAACGTGGGCAGCGGGACCGGGGTCCGGGCGGTTGAGGCCAAGCACAGAATTCACCCCTCTCGGCCCCTCCTGCCACATTCTTTCCGCACCTCGGAACACAACTCCGTTGCGATGCTTGCCCCGTAGCCGTATTAGCACAATGGAAGGATAATGCCTCTGCTTTAGCGCAGTGGCTGCTCTGGATTCTTTGTTCAAAGCACGTGAATGGCGTGGCCCTCTTGCCTCGGACGCACGTGCTCGAATCGGGGTCCAGGACCCGCTCAGGCCACGCACGCGTGCCGCCCCCCTCAAAGCGAGGTCCCTCTTGTTGACTTTTTGCCTAGTGGAAGTGAGGCACATGGCCAAGAAGGTGGCCTGTGGGCAGCTCGGCCTTCCGGTTGAGTACCCTCCCGGCGGGTGGACGTCGGAGAGCGAGGGCGAGAGCGTCAGGGAGGAGCTGGGCGCCGCCGGCACCAGAGAGCCGGTCCAGTTCTGCAGGCGCAGCGCTGGGGCAGAGCGGCTGCAGGCTGCCCAGGGGCTCGGGGCCCGCAGGCTGGGCAGCGCCTGCCAGGATGGGGCCGACCCGGAAGCCGCACCGACACGCGAGCCAGGTAGGAGCTGGTGCGGCAGGTTGAGGGCTGAGTGGAAGCTGAAAATTCCCACCCCTCGGTCGCGGCTTCATTCCCAGAGACACATTGGGGGGGGGGGGGAGCTCAGTGGTTTAGGAGGCAGTTATGAGCACCAACACTAACAGAATGAAGCACTTCTTGAAGCGTTCCGTCAGACATTTTGGAGCACAACTCCCGTCAGCCCAGCCAGCCCAGCAGAGGATTGTGGACGATGGGAGCTACAGCCCAGAATGTCTTGTGAGTGCTGGGTGGCATTGGTCCTGCTTTAGGCGTTCCCCTCGGTTGGCCCCACAACTGAGGTGTCTCTCAGTGGTCCTGGGGCTGCCGAACCGAATGCCTCAACTCAGCGCCTTCCTCTGTAAGAGGGGATCCAAGAGAGGAAGTCCCACCGGGTGGGCGCTGCTGCTGAGCAGAGTGGCAGAGGAGCTGTGACCCCGGTGGGATGCTGTGAAAGGGCCGAGCGAGGCCGGGGGTGGGCGGGCATTTGCGGTGGCTCGGGGGAGTGGGTCTTGCCCAGCTCGCTGCTGCTGCAGACTCGCTTGGCCACATGGCAAGGCTGAAGGGCAAAAAGGCGGGCCGCTCTGCTGATAGGCCCTTGCTGCAGGTTTCCCCCCTCTTGGAAAGACCAGGGTCTCTGGCAGGGACAGTTGCATGCTGCTATCTGTCAGGCCGTGTAGATTCCACTGTCGTTTGCTGATGTATGCTTTGTATTTTATTTTACGGATTGGATTTTTGTTCCCCCCATTAGCCAAAACGGCCCTTTCGTTTCTCTGGCCGAGCCATTCAGAAACACTGCTTTCTTCCTGTGAATTCTTGTGTCTTGCTGTTTCCTTGTTCCGCTTGACATGGTCTAATTTATTGTTAGGCCAAGGTAGCCCATTTCCAAGAAAGGACGTTCTAGTTGAGCTGGGCGTCACATTGCACAAGGACACTGTTCTTGCTGTCGCCGCTGAGGACCTTCCCAAGGTGCGTGTTTGCATTTATGTTTGCTTTGGGCGCATTAGTGCTAATGCACAGCACTAATGTACACTTGTGAACGAGCACAAACATCCCCCTACTAAATGAAACAGTGGTGTGTAAATCCATGGGATCTGCGTGGTATGGCCCAAGGTCAGATTTCCAGAAGTCCAAACTCCTTGGAATTTGTTGCAGCTTCCTCTGACACCCCTAGTTTCACCCCTAGCACTGGGAAAGCAAAACAGGCTGTCGTATGTAATCCACTACATTACATTTGCTCCTCACTCTGTTTCCCAGCATTTAACTGCCATTTGGCAATTCAGAACCACCACAATAACCCGGCCTTTTCTGGGCCATTGTCTGGGAAGTAAACGTGCTCGTGAAGGAGTTTCCACGGGGAAACGGATCACGTGGCCGACTGCCCCCGATGCTGCCTCTTGGGAGGCTGGGAGCCGTGTAGGTTGGAAAGCTGGCAGCGCGAGCTGGGCCAGCCGTTCTCTCTCTCAGAAATTCCGAGGACTCTTGTGGAAGGGCAGGTCCGGCTGCGTGTAACGAAGGGCAACACGCCAATTCTGAGAGAGGCAGTTCTTACAAGCATGGGGTCAAGTCAAGTTCTGATTTCCGTGTGCGACTTGCAGGGCCGCTTGCAGCAGCCAGACCAGTCCCCGCCATCCTCGCCAGATGTTTTGGAGGAGTTTCTCACTCCCGACACAGAGTTTTTTTCCTGCTCCCCAGGTCTTCCCACATGTTCGGAAGCAGAGGTGAGAGAAAGACAGGCCTGGTATGGGAAAACGGTGTGGCTTGCCGTTGCTTGGGTCCCCGGGGGTTTTCTTTTCTCTGAGTGTGCGAGATGTGTTGAGAGTGTGGGAAGCTGGGTAAGCCACATAGTTAAAGCTTAAATGCTCGGGGAAGAGGGACAGTAAGGCATCCTCTCCAGTTTGGGTCTCCGGGAAGGATTCCTTGGTGGGTCACAGGCTTGTGTGTTCAGCTGCACTCAGGAACTCAAGTTTTCACGTCTCTTCAGATACCAGCGGGTGACGAAGAAAGAAGAGAACAGGGAGACTTAGGAATATCTCAGGAGATCAGTGGGCAGACAGAACATCCCATAGAGACAGGTCAGCGTGCATGCCTTTAGTCCTTTTAATATGGGCCCATCCTGAGCAGCTGTAGCTTCCAAAACGCCTGCCTGGCACGGGTGCTTGGGGTGGGAGGGCCATGTGTATTTCCGGGATCATGGGAAATGCGAAACGTTGGCGGGCCCCTCCCCACTGCCCACGTCTTTCAGTTCCCAGGTCTGGCCTTTCACTCTTTTTGCCCGACTGCCTCACCTCGGAAAGAAGTCATTGCGGCAAAGTTGCTCACTTTCTGGTTAGTCTCGAAAGGGGGCCACAGCAATCTCAGCTGTTTACCATCTGACTTCCATTGGAAAGATCAGGAGCAGGACCTGGAATGTTTTGGTTTCTCTGTCGCAAGGAACTTGTTTTCCTGCAGAAATTCTGGACCTCTTTGTCAGAGAAGAGGCATCTTCAGCAAGGCTTCCTCCTGACCCTTTGCTGATTGCTCTGTGGCTGCCACTCCGAGAATGTCTCCTCCTTCCCCCAGGCTTTCCAAAATCAGCCATTTGGATAAACACTCCTTTGGGTGGAGTGTTAGCCTCTGGTTTGTGCCTGGGGCAATTTCCTCTCGGGGGGGGGGGCAACCCCCTTAGGGTGGGGCAAGCGAGGTGCTGTGTTAAACCCACCTGCAAGCGCACTTTTAAAAGTCCAATAGTCTCTGTTTGCCCCTCCCTGAGGGGCAAAAAACCCTAAACCCCGATCTCGTCGGCAGGATGGGGACCAGACCACACGATCAGGGGTGCAGGTTTTCCCTTCCTGCTGCAGTACTGACAAAAATCGTGGCACAGCTGGGCCCTTTATTTGCACTGGTGCTAATGGGAGCGTTTCTCTCCCAGTGTAAACAGAAACACTGGCAGGGTGAGTTTTGTTGGATGTGTGTGCGTGGGTGCATGTTTATGTACTGGTTAAATCCCTCCTCTTTGGCCAGCTCTGATTTTGTCCGCCACCCCATCCCAAAGCAGGGGCTTTTCAATCCTAAAAAAATCCCGAAGCACAATTTAAATGGAATACGACATCTAATGTGCCTCAAATTTGCCCAGTGTTTCTACCTGTTCCGGCATGTTTTATGGAGGACAGACTTTCTTAGCTGCGATACTTCCAAATCTGGGGGCAGGAGGAGTAGCTTTTCTAGCAGGTTGTGAAGCCTCTACAAGTCCTGCCTCCGCTTCTGGCTGGCAAGTCGAGGGAGACTTCACGGGAAGTCCAGTGCTTGCATCTTAGAAACTTAGCTCACTGCCATCAAACTATGATCCCCAGGATTATTTTGAGGAGGCTGTGATGGTTAAACTGATATAAACCCATATACTGGGGCCCTTTTGTGCATAGCTTACCATCTGCCAGTCTGTTTGCCTGTGAAGCCTCCGAAGAGAAGAACCCCGTTTAAGATTCCCTCCACATAGTTGCTTATCGTATCGAGTCTGCTAGAGGCACTTTGATTGTACACACGCTGAGAACAGAAGCGAGGGGGTAGGGAGGGCATCGTTCCTGCATTTTGGCAGGCGCAGCTTCTTACCCCTGTAGCGTACGGTTTGGAAATCTTATTATCGCTATCAGCATCCATGACAAGCGGTTGCTGATTCAGCAGCCCTGTGCATTTAGCCATGGAGCCAGCCGGTTGGAGACAGAATTAGACTTTCCCACATCATTTCCCTCTTCTGCCTCAGTCTGGGAGAAGAAGGTCCTACACCTCTGCTCAGACATGGGGGTTAGCATTCACTGAAGATCTGTAAATATTTCTGCAGCCGTTGGGAATTCCTGAATAGGTATAGTAAAAAAAAGAGGAGCTCTTTGAAAACACATTTATCTCCGCAAGTTGCTCAGAGCCACAGTTGCCAACACTAAAAGTCTTAAAAGAATTCCTAGGGCAGTGTGGTATAGTGGTTACCATGTCGGGTGGGGGACTCAGGAGATCTGGGTTCTAGTCCCCTTTCAGCCATGAAGGGCATGAATTTTGGCCAGTCACTGGTCTGTATCTTAAGCTACCTAACTGTGTTGTGAGGATAAATGGAGAGGAAGACAACCTTGTAAGCGGCTTTGGATTTCTTGCAAGAAGAAAGGCAGGGTATAAGCGTGCTGTTATTGAATGTCATTATTTTTTGCATATCTATATTACCCATAGCTGAAGCCCTCCGGGAGGTTTTCAAACGCTATAAAAACAATACCATAGATGGAAACAACTGACTAGAGTTAAAATTAATTTAAATTGGCCTAAAAACATTAGCACAGGAAAAGAGAATAACAAGGACAGTTAAAGACCTGGCCAAGGATAAAAGGCACCTGCCTGAATGACCAGAAAGGCCTCTGCAAAGAGGTCTGTCTTGATCTGGTGCCAAAAAGATGGCAAATTGGGTGCGGGGGGGGGGGTCACAGCAGAGAGGTTGTTCCAGAGATCGGGGGCCACCCGTGAGAAGTTTCTCTCCCTAGTTCCCACCTTCCAAGCTTCTTGAGGGGTTGGCACCTGGCAGAAGACCCCAGAAGCTGAGCATGATTTTGCGAGCCTTCCTCCCGCCTGCGACTCTGAAGTGCATTGAGCCGTAGGCCCCAGTTCTCGGTCACTATTGCTAGCCAGGAATGATGGGAACTGTAGCCCCGTGCATCTGGAGGACACAGGAAGAGGGGAGCTGGGTTATATTCTTCTTTCTTTGCCAAGGACCTCAATACACATTTTACTGTTTGTATTCAGGAGGAAACAGCCTCACCAGCGATGCAAAGGGGGGACACCTCTGCAAGGCTGTGCCAGGAGAGGACCTGTGTACACCTGTGGCCAGGTAGAAGCTCTTCTTGTCAGGCAGCCGCCACACATGCAGATCAGGCTGCAGAGTTTCTCCGTTATTGATCCCACCACGCTACAAGGACGCACTGCCCAGATGAGCGGCCTGATGCGGGCCTGTGCGTCTTCCGTAAATGAAGCTCCCTAGGAAAGCGAAAATGCCGCAGTCGTCTTTGGAAGCCTGACCAAACCCAGCTCTGTGCTGCTGTTGCCCCTTCTCTGATTTGCTTTAACAAAGGGAATGGCAATTAACTCGAGAGCGAGCGCATGTCGAGCTTCGTAATAGCACACCCCTCCCTGACATCTGTGGATTGCAGTTCCCCTCGCCAAGCCGTTCTTCCAGGGTGCTCCCCGCATCTTGGTTCTGCAGGCTGCTTAACACACCTGAGCAAGGCCGGCTCTTAGTTGCGTGTGCGGCGAGGGCTGGGCAGTGTTCAGGAGCTGCAGAACTCCGTATCAGAAACCTTTCCTTCCACGGTGAGCTCTGGAAGCATGGGGGCTGCTTTGCTTTGCTTTGCTTTGCTTTGCTTTGCTTTGCTTTGCTTTGCTTTGCTTTGCTTTTCAAGTCAGCTTATTTAATCTGCCTTTAATACTTTCACTGCACTCTCCTGACCCGACATCATATCCTTTTCCTTTAAACCACTCAACTTCGTATTATTTCATACATTACTATATTCTCTCAGTTCTCCTCTGAGATACCACAGCAACCTGATTTGCTTCACTTTCAGTCCATTTCTCGCTTTGTCAGCATCCCTTCTAATCCCAGTTGAACAAAGGAATTGTCATTTCCATTCGTACATTTTGGTTTATATCTGCTAGATTTGCCTGTCTTATCTCGGCCTGCCGCTCTCATCTTACTTTTTCCCCGTTCTTCTCATTCTTTCCCCGAGTCACTGTGATCTTTCTTGGGCCATGCCTGGGGCTCAAAAAATTGGGCAGACTTCAGAATCACATCATTCCCTTTCTTTTTCCCTGGAACCCCGAGTTCCACCCACTGGAACCAAGCAGAGAACAGGAAGAGGGGCAGATGGTGCTTAGTTGGGTTCTGAGAGCTGCTGCCAGAAGGCATGGCCCCCAGTCAGTCCAGTGCGCCGGAGGGAGGTAGATTATGGAGGGGTGGGCAGGGGCAAAGATCCGAAGGCACATGGGCCAGGCAGAGCTCTCGCTTCAGAAGAAAACTGCTCGGGCTGAGGACCAGGAGGGGATCCGCGACCCGGGCTTCAGAGGGCCTGGTGTATCAGGATTGGCCCGGAGGGGCCACTGGCTGCATCTTCGGGCAGGTTGGTGTGTTTGGCCATCAGCCTGGGAGGCCAGGCATTCGGTCACACCAGAGTGGCTGGAGGCAGTGGAGGAAGGTGTTGGATGCTGGAAGCTCCGGCGCAGGCCTGCTGCATGCCTTACATCGCCCTCGTATTCCCGGGCCACTCATTCGCACTGGTTATGGTGGCAAAACTCACCGTGACCTGAATCTGGGGGAAGAGGACACCAGGTTTGTGGATTCCGAGCCACAAGGCCTTGAAATCAGTCGTCCTTCTGCGGCCTGAAGTGCTAGCGAGCGAACGGAGCGCCGGTCTCACCTGGAATGCAGCGAGGCCCGTTCTGGGTCTCTTTGTTTTGTGGGATGGACAGGCAAAGACATCAGCGAAGGAGCAGCTTGGCGCTGGGGATTTGTTTTGCGTTTCCTTTTGCCTCCTTTGCAGTATAAATCGGAAAGCTTGTTTTCCAGCATCGAATCGGTTCGCAGCAGCAGCCCAGCATGTTTCTTCTTCCTCCGCAGCACCGGAACTGCGCCTGGTGTGAAATCCGGGGAGCCTCAGGGAGCGATCAAGGAGAGCGACATGTAAGGATCCCGTGCGCCTGCTTGATACCCACTGCTTGTTGCTCGTATCGAACAGGAGGGGCACTGAGGGGCTTCCTGTCGTCGTAGCCGTGCTTTGGCTGAGAGGATGGGACTCGTATCCAACCCAGCGGGAGGGCAGCATGGGGAAGGTGGGCTTCAGAACGAGGGAGATGCATCCTTTCAGTGTGATAAGCCGAGCGGATCAAAGGATGAAAACCGATTTAGTGAGGGTAAACAGATGAGTAAATTTCAGAAGAAACCGGAGGCGGTCTGGGTGGAACTCTCAGCTTAAACTAAGTTCCAGAGGGTGGCCGCTTCGCCTGTGATGGGCATGTCGACAGAAACTAATGTGGCATTTCCTGCCAGCTCCCCGATCTACTGCCCATATTTCAGGGCCTAACAGGATACTAGGTTCTTAGCATGCTGCTGCTAAGAGAACAGCAGAAACACTGCTTTGGAAAGGCTCCCTTTGAGAATTGTTTCTGGCATTCTCCAGAATGCACCTTCTTTCTTCAAAATGGACGGTGCTGTTCCCTTGCTCTCCGTCTCTTCCATATTCCTTCTCCCTCCTCCAGCCACCTGCAAAGTCAAGAGAGAGAGAGACAAGATAATATTTGGGGGGGATTATTTATTTAGTTGTTAAATTACTTTAAGCCCCCCCCCCCCCATTAGCATCACGCTCTCTCGGTTGAGGGGCTGGCAGGACACGATCCCGGTATTTTCATTGAACGCGCCCCGCTCGGCAACAGGAGGTACCGAGGCCCGTTTTGCAGCGCCGGCTTCGTTTGGTTTAGCTCTCTGATAGATATTCAGGACTTGTCCAGCATCTCCTGCGACGACTCCTGCAAGCCAAGAGCTCGTGGAAGCCCCAGAAGCACGCTCTCGCCAGCGGATGCCAGCACCCCCCGAAGCTCAGGTAATGGTGGGGGGACGGAGGGGGGAGCGGTGGGCCCCCAGCCGTGTGCCAAGGAACCGCTGGCCCGCGGCTGTAGGAAGGACGTCAATCCAGGCACCAGCGCTCTGGGTTTCCTCCCCTGCAGGGCAGAGCGCTCTGCCAGGGCTGGCCAGCGGCTTCTGTTGGGGAAGCAACCATTTGCCCCGGCTGTTGGGAGCTTGGAGGCACCGGGACCGTTTCAATGCCTTGTGCTGGGCGGGGGCCACAGAAGGACTCGTCTGCAGGTTCCGAGGGGGAGTTCGGAAACCTTAAGTTGGAATCGGAAGCAAAGGAAAATGCTCCACTTTTTCCTTAGGAAATAGCAGCTTCTGATTTCCATGGTTTAGGGAATAACTCCAAACAGGCAAGCAGAGGAGTGCTTGTTTGCAACCCTCTCAAAATCGACACAAGCCCTCAGTACGGATGGGTCAGGTTTTCCTGACTCTTTCCCTCCAGGTAGAAAGGGGGCATGCGTCCTTATTTCTGAACAGGATTCCTTCTTCTTCCCATGTCGCCACCATATATTTTCAGCAGAAGCGGCTTTTTCCTCCGCCCCTGTGAAATGCAAGATGGCCCCAGACACGACGTGCTTCTCTGCAGAGGAGGCCTCGCTTTTGGGGCTCAGCACCTTCTCTGCAACCTGGGCGCGAGGGAAGATCCCAGAAGTCACCTCTCTCCCCCAGGATCCGGCAGCAGGACGTTCGGAGCCTGTAAGTGGAGTCCGGCCCGGGGGCGGGCTGGGTCGGCAAGGCGGACATGGCCTCAGCAGTGGCGAGACTACGGCAGTTCTTTCTGGCAGGTGGTGCGCCAGCGAAGGGGCACAGCAGACCCATTTGGCTATGATATTTTGAGAAATTCGAGGATGTAATAGATCCTTCAAGGATTCCTTCCCTGCTGTCATTTCCTGTTTTATTATCACAACAGTCTTGTGAGGGAGGTTAGGCCAAGGGAAGGTGGCTGGGCCGAGGAAGTTTGAACCTGGGCGTCGCCAGCCCGCATTTCACAATCTAACCACTGCACCAGCCTTCCCCCCACCTTTTGCTCTCCAGATGAGTTGGACAGCAGTTCACGGGGATGATGGGAATGGCCTCTGAGGGCCACAGGTGGGGGGCGTCTGGGCTACTCTGCAGCCTACCATCTCACTCACGAACTTGCAGAAAGATGGTTTTTAGGAAGGCACTTGGCGTGCGTCTTTGCTTCGCTGTTTCAATTTGCCTGTGCGTTTTTGAAGGTTTGAAATACTTTGGCAATTTTCTGCTGCTGGTTTTTGTGCTTTAGATGATCGTTTCAGTTAGAGTGTTTCTTCTCAGTTTCTTTCTTTCTTCTCCGGTACCACACAGACACGAGTTCTGCACCTGCCCAAAGCATCTGTCAGAACTTTCTAGAGTGGAGAGGTTTATGCGAGAAGCCAGACCTGTCTCCTTGCTCCCGGGTCCGTGCCCGAAGGGCAGTGTTCTCAGCTTTCCTTTTGGTTTCTCTCACTTAATGAGTGGATTTTTTCTTGGAACCTTTGAAAGTAGATTATGAATGTTTGTTAGTCAAATAAATGCTCCTTGGCTATTTCCAGCATAGAGAGAACCACGGGGTGCCTCTTTGAGGTGAGTCCGCTCATAAAAGAGGTGGCATTCCTGATCGCAGCACAACAAATGCAGGTTTATTACGTACCGTGGAATTCAGAGCTGGACTTTGAAGAGCTCTGCAATCAAAAGCCCCCAGCTTGGATGGATGAATCTATCCGTTCCGCTTTCTCTCACCTTTGATCTTTTTTCCTTCAAAACTCAAAGCTTTTCCATCCTGTTTATGAAGAAATATTTAACTTTTGCCAAGTTCTTACTAACTCCTCCCCTAGCTAGCCCTTACCAGACAAAATTCTCATCCACCCTAACTTGAAGATTTGGGGATGTTTCTGGGAATTCTTCATGTCAAAGCTCTCCCATGCAGGCTCTGGACTTTTGCTAGTGCTCCAGGAAAGCGGGAGAGTGCTGGAAACAGGATGGTGTCATGGATAAGGGGTGCTTACTGCGTTGATGGCACTTCCGTCTCTCCCCACTTTCCGAACTTCATCGCCTTGTTTCTGGAGGTTTCTGGAGAATAAGCCACCTGTGCCTTTCCTGCCCAGTCAGTGAGTGCGTGGCAAGAAGGGGGAAAAGCTAAGAGGACGCGCTGAGGCGGCTGCTGCCTCCCAGGTCTTGGCTGTGTCGCGATCTCATCGAAGGGGCACACGAACCGTCGGGGAAAGAGCGAGGCGCATGCAGATGCGAAACCAGCGAGCTGCACATGTGCCAGTCCGGGAAACTAATTTTAGAAATCCTCCAAGCTGTCCCAAAAGGCAGGCTGGCAGATCAGCCCTGAGGAGGGGGAGCGCTCACTCCGAGCGGTGCGTCGCTTGGGCCCCCCAGCAAATGGGCCCCCGGAGCATGGCGCGCTCCGGAGCCGGCTCTGCCGTAAGAGTGGGAGCTGGCAGCGCGGCCCCCTCGCTCCATCCCTGCCGGGGCGCGTCCTGCATTTGGGACGGCACCGGGGTGCGCTTCTGTGCACAGAGAGACCCGCACGACCGGGAGGGAGTCACGTTGCCCGCTTTGCAACACGCCGTCGGCTCGAGGCGGCGCGATCCGTTCTGCAGCGTCGCGCAGCCCCTGCTCTGTTCACATGGCACATTGCCAAGGCAACCTAAACCAGTTCAGCTTGATCCTCCGCCACACGATCCCGCCTCTGCATTGCCTTTACTACCATTCAAGGGAATGCCGCGGAGCGCTCACCTGCTCTGCAGCCCTCCTGCAGCCTCTCGCCGGCAGGGCAGCTGCTGCTTGACGCAAATGATGGGCTGTTGAGCCAGACCTGCGGCAGCCCCCCCGCCCTCCCCCCCCCTTGGCACGTCTCCCCTCGCGCCTCTGGTTGGCAGGGCAGCCCGTGGGTGCTTGTTAAACCTGTTCAGGGGCTCGGTTCCCCCTTGGCTGGGGGTCACCAGGCAGGAACTCCATGTGAGGCGGCAGGGCCGCTAAAACGTGGCATAAAGAGGCCTCACTTCTCCATCGCCTGGTCCCTCCCAGACCAAGCAGCGAGTGCTTCAGGCCAGCTGCACACGTGGTCCCCGAGCAAAGCGGGCTGGGCTCGCCCCACGTCCGTCCGTCCGCCCGCCTTGCAAAAGGCCGTTCCTCCTCCAGGGGTGGGGGGGAAGGGGACTGGATGGATCCCACTGGCTTGGGGAGGTGCCGGATTTGCATGCAGAGAGAGCCCACTGCCTCCGGCCGAGGCTGGGCACCTGGTGAACAAGCGGCAGTCCCTGCAGGAGAGGCAAGCTGTGAGGAAGCAGACCTGGGGGCTCTCGAGCTCACGCTGCCTTCCCGTGCAGCGGCTCCCTCTGGCACGCGGACGAGAGCGAGGCGCCCCAGGGACATGCAAGAGAGAGTCCTCCGTGAGCCGGCGAACGTGCCCTGCTCTGCAGAAGTACAGCCCCACTCCGCCTCTCCATCTTCCCCTCCAGCAGGCAACTGTAGGGTCACGCCTGCCTCCGGGGCGGCTGCTTTGCCTGGCTCTCCCCTGGGCTCCCGTTCGGCACTCCCGTCTGCCGGGGCCGGGGCCGCAGCGCCCTGCCACTTCTCTCAGCCCTGCCGGGCTTTGCAGGAGGCACAGCACTGCCTGCCCTTGCTCCACCAGTCCCCAGCAAGCGGGTCAAAGAACCTGGGGACTCGATCTGCCCCACTGCATGGAGGAGTCAGTTTCTGGCTTGCATCAGAAAGATCCGATTCTTTGGGAATCTGGATTTCTGGCTCAGCCAACACTCGGACGGAGCACAAGGAAATGGGGCCCCGTCACACGCCTTCCAGCTTTCACACTGAGTATCTCGTGCCTTGCAGGGCGACTTCTTGGATCTTGGTGCTTGGCTGCCCCGTGGGAGGGGTCAGCAAGGAACAGGGGAGCCATCTCCTCCTCCTCCTCCTCCTCCTCCTCAGCAGAGCGAACTCCAGGAAGGTACAGGCCGCTTGGGGGAATCAAGGGCATGATGGAACAAGCCAGCCTTCCTCAGTCTTGTGTCACTAGGTGCCACTGGACTGCCATTCCCACCATCCTGATCACCAGGCTTGGGGGCTGGGGTGATGGGGGTTGTAGTCTAGCCGCATCTGGGAAAAGGCTGGCAGGAATCCAGTGGCACCAGTACATCTTTGAGATATATTGTAATAAGAAAGCTGTATCGATAATTGAATAAGAATGAGAGAGGAATACTTATGAGCCCCTTCTTCCCCACGCCCTCCTCTTCCGCTCCACACACAGGATCTTCCTCTCCTCCTCTCACATTGGCACCCCCCAGCTGCCCCCCAAATCCGTGTTCTCAATTTTCAAATGTGATTAAGTTCAAATAAGCAAAATTAAGGCAAACGTGTCATAGATATCAAAGCCACATCAGGGATTTAGAAGGCATCACAGAACCATTCCTGGAAAGCGTCTCAAAGGAGCACTGCCCGATTTCCCCGGCAGCTTTGTATGTTAATCAGGTGTGGATGTATAAGAATCTGGATGGGGCGACCATTTTGAATCCCGGTCAAAATGCTCCCGCCGTGCATAGGAGCACAGCAAGCTGCACAGGGCTGGATCAGAGCCATCCGCTCAGTATCGCCAGTCCATCTTTCCAGGGGTTCAGAGAGATGCCTAGCCCTCCCTGGACTTTGAGCCTGGGTTTTTCCTGCACAAAAAGCAGGGGCTGTGTCCCTGATCTGTCCCCCCCCCCCCATTAAGAATAGTTAAACAGATTGTCGACAGCAGTGCTCTGGAATGTCTTTGGCCACTTCTCGCCCTGGCAGTCACAATCCTTCTGTTTATGCCAGCCGTTCCAGGGCAAGCGGATTCGGAAGAGCAAGAGCTGGAGGAAGTCGCCCTGAACAAGTGCCTGGCCGATTGCAGCTTCTGGGGCAACGAGACCGTTTGTCTCCTAGAGGAGACGGAAAGGTACAAGGCGGCTGCTGGAATGGGGGAAGGAAGGAGATGAGGTTGGCTTGCAAGGTGGGTCCCCACGCCGACCCCCAGCTCCCTCGTCGTTCGCAGAACCTGAATACTTTAGCTGCAACCCTTGCCTCCACCTGCTGAACACACCTGGCACTTCGCTGCACTCCAGAACTATTTAATCAGCTCTAGAGTCTCGTGTTTTCAAATTCCTGTGTGTGACATTCACAGCTGAGGTTGGAGCATCCTTTAAAAAGAGCAGCATCTGAAGTATTTTCGCAAGACTTGAGTTGGTTAAAATGTATCTTACTTTGCTTTATGCCATGGGCCCCCCAAGTGGCATGCATGCTTCTGGAGGGCAGATGCAGTACCAAAACTGGGATTGCAAAATCAAATTTCAGTAAACTGGAGCACTGTCAACAAGGAACTAGAACCGAGGAGACTCAAGCCCATGTTTAATGTCCTGAGTGAGCCGAAGAATGCAACAAGAAAATCCCATTTGGTGCTTTCGTCACACTCCCTTGGGCCTAATAAGTTAAGGGGAAGAGTTCCCCCTCCAGTCTAGGGTCTCACAACTTGCCAGAGCCCCTTCCTAATCCTTGGTCCTTCTTAGGGCTCACTCAACACTTGACAACGTTTTGGAAGGAGTTCTCTGGCCTCTTGCCGACGGCTGCAACCTTCACAAAGAGCCACTGGACCCTGTCAAGAGGTGAGTGCAGTCACCGGAATCCCTTTCCTAACCCCAGGAAAAGCTTTTGTCTGGGCAGATCAATAGCGTGCAGAATAAGCCAGTATTGGGAGGTACTGAACAGACTTGGGTGTCAAAGCTTCGTTGTGGGAAAGGGTGAAACTCCCAGGTAACCAAGAGTAACTGTGTGCCAGCCTGTTTTCATCCTGCTTGGCTGAGTGGAGGAATAGCACTGGCGGACTGGGAATAATCCACAAGTTCCTTTCCTCCACTTGGAATCAGTATAGCGTAAAGCCTGGCCTACCTCACAGGGTGGTTGTTTTGGGGATAAGATTGAGAGCAGCAGCAGGAGAATGACGGAAGCTGCGTTGAGTTCTTTGAAAAAAAGAAACAGATATAAGCCTAATAAATAAGCAAACATACATGTAACGACCACCATGGTGCATTATGTCTGCACAGTTGCTAATCATGGTTAATTTTATCCAGGCTTGTTCAACCAGGCCTGGTTTAACAACGGGGGCAGAAACGCACACCTCTTCAGCACCCACACACTTGCGTTTGCTGATGTAATCTTAGCATAGGGGTTAAGCTGTAGATCGCAAGGTGTGTTTAACCTTTCCCACCCACAGATGATCCGTAGCAAATCCCACCCTGTGGAAACTTCTGCGGTCAGCAGTTCCTTACTCTCCTTTGACGTCCATAGGAGACTTTGGGAAGATTATGTTCTGCCCTCCAGCCCACCTTCTACACAGAAGTGCCACACCTACTCCTTAGTTTTGCAAAACAAATGCAAGCTTGGCTTGTTACCCGCCTCCTGGTCCCAAATCATGACTTCTGTAACTGGTTTAAAAACTAACCAAGATTAGTACTATATCTAGTTAAACTTGCTTTGCTGCCGCTGCCGCCACCACACCTTCCTTAGCCGAAATGAAGGGCTGAATTCAGGCAGGGCGTGTTGCTCGGAAATCCAAGCCTTGGTGTTTCTGTCCCGTTCCGCCCAAGGAAATCTGACATCTTGTGTGTGGACAGCCTCTCCATGTCCGCACTTCCTCCCGATCATTACTTCCACTCCCAGAATTTTTAGGTCTTTTTCATATGTGACACAGTGAGCCATCCCAACTTTGGCGGAGGAGGCAGAGCGCTAGGGTCACCAGTGTCCTGCCAGTACGAAGTGCCACGGGACTGCCTCCTCCAGAGTTTGCACGTGTGGCTGATCTTTCAGAAAGTGCCATCCTTTCTCTGTGGAGCCCGAGAAAGGAGTCTTTTTGCATTCTTCCCTTTTAGTAAATGATGCTCGTGGGTCCCCATCTGAGTGCAGGAGCTCGTTCTTGCTCCGCAAAGTGAAATTCTTCAGGGGGACCTCTAAAAGTTACCTTTGACACAGGCCTCTGTCCTTGAAGGGATCCAGGCTGTACACATCACACAGCTATCAAGAGGAGGGGAGGAGCAGAAGAAATCTTCAGTGAATTTGAACCTTCTGTTGAGCTTGTCTTAGGCTTTTATTTTCTGTTCTTTCTCATTTTTCTGGTTTTTTCCTCTCCTTTTTTCTTGCTTTGACTCAGCACATTTCCACTCAGCCGTTTCCTTCCTTTTTCATCTCGACTTGCCTCGATTTACTATTCAATAAATGTAGCACTGCTTACCTATCGCTTTATGGATTTATTGCGGGAGCCCTAGTGCCATCGCTTTTGACACCCCGCTTGGCAGGCAGTCCCGCTTCTTGACTTTGTGTTTTAGATTCTTCTCGGTATTTTTAAGCCACACTTTTTGAAAACCAAGTGTGGGAGAAGAGAGCTGGCACGCGGCAAGTGGCCCTGTCGCCTGCTGGGCCCGTTTTTTGTCCCAGGATGCCGCTCTTCGAAGGTCAAAAGGGCGCCACAGTCCCGCGCTTTGTGTGGAAGCATTTCCAGCTATCCCGAGGAGAAGAAAACGGATGAGGGGTGGGAAGAAAGAGGCAGGAGCATTCCGGAGGCGGCGAAGCACTGGGACACCAGCCTGTTTTGCACCCATCTTAAAATGCCTCGTTTCCCTTGTGCCTTTCCACGTGGATTCCCCCTTCCACGTGTGCCCGGAACCCAGGGCTGCACGGCCATCGTTGGTCCTGGCCCCGTGTCCGAAGGGGGGCAGCCCTCCATGCTGTTGCCTTCCAGTGACCAACGCACACGCACGCTTCGGCCAGCAGGAGCCTGCCCTCGCTCCCTCCGGGCTGCTCCTAGCGGCCGCGTTTGACACAGACCTCTCTGTCCTTGAAGGGAACCGACTCGCCTGCGCTACGGGAATATCGAGATGAAGGGGGACGGAGGAGAGAGCTTCAGCGAATCGGAATGCTCCGCCGAGAACGCCGAAGGTCTGGACTCATAAAAGACTCGCCGAACTGTTCTTGTTAACTGTGTTTTGTTCTTCCGAGTGTTGGGTTCAAAAGTGACTTTCTAGGAAAATCCAGGCGCACGTTCCTGCGGTCCGGCTCGCACCACGTTGTTTCCCTTGTCCACGGAGCCCGAGGCCTGGACCCCAAGAGCTGCGCGAAGCCCCCCACGCGCAGCCCAGGCCTGCATACAAGCCATGCAGACGGGACAGCTCTTGGCTGGGGTTGCGATGCGTTCCTTGTATTTTGTTGCTTGCTTGAGACGGTAAAAGTTAAGGTTTTATCGGTGCCGCTGCTTGTGCTGTTTTTATGTGGTTGTCTGAGCCTTGGGCTCTTTGAGGGCACGGACGGGACAGCAGTACGGGCGGCGGCTTCCCTTCCGCTTGGCCCTGCTCCCCTGGCGGAGGAGGGCTTCCCAACACGGGTGCCTCGTGCCACAGACTCTGACCTCAGGATGCTTTCCGGAGCCTTCCTGGATGGCTCGGCACTACGGGGTCATCCGGCATCTCCCCGCGCACCTCCCCGCCGCCTCACCCGCATCGCCACAGCATCCCGAGCCCGTGAGGGCAGGCCACGTGCCTCCGTTCCCTGTCCAGGCACACACTTGTCTCTGTGGGGTGCGGGGAGCGTCCCGTGTCTCCTGCGCACACCGTCTTGGTTCATCCATAATCCGAAGGGTTCCGCCTCTCTCTCCCGACAGAGACCCTCCTGAGGACATCGAATCCCATTTTAAAGCCTCATAAGGAAAAGTTTGAGCATCCGTCTCCCCTCCCGCTTCCGTGAATGTTGCTCGAAATCACGACACAGAGGTCTCCCTGCTCTTGGAGGTCCACAGAGATTGCTATTGCCATCAGTCCCCTGAAGCCTGAGTGGGGATGATGGGTGTTGTGGCCCAGCAGCACCAGGGCACTAATGGCCCTACAGGACCGGTCTGGAGACATCCCAGTGCAAACGCACCTGACCGCAGCGGGACTCCGGGCCTTCCTAAAACGCCCAGGCTTTCCACTGCCACCGCCATCTTGACTGTACCGGAGCAAAGGGTACAGCCCCACCCAGAGAGGGCGGCACACACGCCCGGCTCCTAGGCCCCCTCGTGGGCACTGGGAGGCCTTCCCACAAAATGCCCGCTCGGTCTCCGCGAGGCACGCGACGAGAGGCAGGGACGGTGCGTGGGAGAGGCGCTTGCCGCGGGCCGTCGCAGCTGCTCCGGCACGGGGGCTGCCACGTTGTGCCGAGGGCTTCATGGGGAAGGCTCTCGCGGAGGAGGGCAGGAAGAGGCCCGCGCATTTCCCAGGCTCAGTGGCAGCAGGCGCAAAGGGGCAGGGTCCTCTGAGGGCGCAGGTGCCCCACTGGCAGCTGAGGGACGGCCGGATGGTGAGGCGGGAGGAGAGCCGGCGAGAAGCACGTCGAGGAGCAGGCAGCGGAGCGTCCTCGGGGCACGTGCGGCTGCTGGGAGGCAAGAGGTGCTTGTCCACCTGCCCTCGTCTCGCCCAGAAGCTGCAAGCGCTCCCCAGAGCTGGGAAACTGATAGATGTCGGCATACGGCCATAAAATTAAGAACCGCTTTTATGCCTCCCTGCTACCTGGCCTCAGGCTAATTGCGCTGGATCCGGGCAAGGCACCTCCGTAACCGAAGAAACCCGCATCGAGCAAACCTTTCATACAGTACCGTCTCTTCATCTCCCTTATTGGATGGGATTTGCACCTGCCTGCAGAAAGATTGCCTTGGGGGATTAACTCGGCAATGAAGCGAAAACAACAGTATGAGAAGGCTGTTTTTTCGCCCGCTCCGATGTGTCTGGCGCATCCATTTGATATAGTAGGCGCTTAGAGAGGAGGCGGCGAGTACATAATTTATTTTGCCAAGTGGCATTGCTTTTCAAAAGGCAGCCTTCCTTTCGAGCTAGTTTCCCACCCACAGCCTTTCTGATCCAGTACAGATTGACACAGCTGCAAAATGACATTTTCCACTGCCCTCTCGCGTAACCCCGGAGAGGTGGAGGTGGCAGGAAATCGTGACCCTGCTCCTCCTAGGGGTCGTTCCACTTGACTAGAGCGGAAAATGACAAAGTGCTTCTCTCGCCAGGCCAAGAGTGCTCTGAAGGGGCACCCGTTCTGGCATGTGCATTTTCGGAGACCCTCTTTTCAGCCGAAATTCCTTTGGGGTTCTGATTTGGCGCCCCTTTGGACATCGCGTCTTGCGCTGGGGACTTGGCAATGAGAAAGGGCACCAGGAGCACATAGGACTTGTGATTCCAGTCGCTGATGTGAGGAGAAATGTCGGAGTTGCTCTCTTTTCGGCAGGAAACCTACAGATGCCCAGGCAGAAGACAGAGCTGTGTTCTGTCTGTTTTCACACTGAACATACCCTCCAGTCTAGCATCCTGTTGCCATAGTGGCCAACCAGTTCCCTAATGGGAATCCCAGGAACAGGAGAGGACTGCAGCATCCCAGAATCAAGCGGGCAGTGACTCATTTACCCATTTACCAGATAATTTTCCAGCCGCTTTGCAGAGGAAGCTGCATCCAGGTGATGAGTCATCTTACGGACCTTTGTAGGTGCGCCCCAAGGAGCCGTGGGAGCTGAATCGGAGTTGGGGGAGGGGAGGGGAGGGGAAAACGTTGTGAATGTTCCAAGGGATCTGGCAGAGGCGGAGGGAGCAAAACCCAGGAGACGATCCAATCAACTCAAGAGATCCGAGCTGGCATTTGGGGGCGACCTTCTTCCATGGTGTCCTTACTGAAGCTTACAAGATACGATCTTATGCAGAGCCTGCCTGGAACTTGTGTCCCCTTGGGCCGCAAAGGACTCTATTTGCAGCCTGAACCAATGATGGCTTGCATGATAAAAGTGGTTGCTTAGAAATACAACTTGAAATCTTCATTGCATAGGAAGCCAGACAGTTAACGGCCTCATACCCTTAAGATGCCCTCAAGGACTCAAGTTCAAATCTTGTAAATATAATCAACAGCTTCTTACAAGTCATTCATAAGAGGCAGGACAAATGTAGACCCATTTCACAGACAAGTCAAGAGAGGCCAGGTCTTTTGAAAGCACACACAGGAAGTTTGGGAAGGCGAATCCAGCACAGGTTTGCTCAGAGAGAGGGTGCCAAGCGATCCCTCTTCCTCGACTGTGCAAATAACGAGTGACGTTCTCTTTTCGTTCCTTCTTGCAAATTTAACTCTCTTGCCTTTTTTCCCTCTCTCGCAAAAAGTCAACGGAGCAACACTTAACATTTAATTAATTGGATTAAGTCTTGATGGTTGTAAACAAAAAACGGATGAATTGTATTAATTGGGAGAAAACCAAGTGACTGGCGGCACCAGGCAAATGTGGGCGGGAGCACACCACAGCTTGAAAGCGGAACTGCGCTCTTAATTAATTGATTTGCAACAAGATCTCTTGGATAATTATGCACAGCAAGGCCCTGTCAGTGCAATTAGCTCCCACTTGTCACTTAATATAACTGGTTGGGTTCAGGTGTTGACACAAACCGGGCCTGAGCAGGAGAGCAGGAGGTCACGGCACGATCGGCAGGAGCACGAGGGCTGATCACGGGGGTGTGGAGCCGCTTCTTGCTTGAGGGCTGGATCCCGTCTCCGAGGAGCCCTCGGGGGCTCTGCTCCAGCAGGCCCACGTTCGAAAGGGGGCGAGCCAGAAACTCGTGCCCCTTCATTTGGGAGGGGAAGAGCAGTGGGGCTTGCCCCAATTCCCCCTTGTGCTGGCAGGATGACCGGGGACCGGGACCGGGACTGGGGCCATTCCACCCACGGGATGCCCCGTTCTTGGAGAGGCAAGGACAGTGGAGGTTTTCATGAGTGCTGGGAAGGCCGATTTTCCCTTTGGGAGAGAGGGCTCTCTCTGCCCTTGGAAGTTGACTGGAAACCCCTGTGACCCTGGGTGCCAGAGCACCTGGCTGGGATCTGCGTACATTTCCACGTGAGAAAAGGCTCACACAGCAAGCACAAGGCTCCTGCTTTTAGCTCTGGGAGAAGGAATTCCCCACTGAGGGAGGCCCATCTGGAGGTCCCCGCCACCTGACATGCCCTCTGCTTAGGCATGCATGTCATCAACTGCAGTTCCCATCGGCCACACCCAGCCCACCCAGTGGTAAAGGATTATGGGAGTTACAGCCTGAAAGTGTGCATGCCACACACCCGTTCAATTGGATTCATTTCCCACCTTTTGCTAGGGAACCAGGGTGGATTACAAGATCCCATTCCCCATCTTATCCTCACAACTACCCTGCGAGGTAGGTACGGCCCAAAGTTCCCCAGTGGGCTTCATGACCGAGTGGGGCCTCGAACCCGGATCGCCTGAGTCTCAGTCGGGCACTTCGAGCACCTCGTCACACGGCTCCAGGGAAAGATGCTCAGTTACACCAAGTTCGCTGCGTCTCCAGAAGGTCTGAACTAAGCAATTGATTCTGATTTTGGCATTCACTCACTTCATTCCGCGTCACTCATGCCCCTGGCAACAACAGTGAGAAAAATCCCTGTAAGTAATTTAGAAAATGCTCAAGAACACGAAGAAATAACATTCTATTTTTTTTCAGAGGAAGACTGGGGATGGATTGGGGATTTCAGCAAGGGGGTGGATTGCTGGCTTGCTCTTGCTGCTTCTCTCTCCTTGGTTGTGCTGATAAGAGCAGAGTGTTTAAGTGCAGGCTGTCTCCTGAATGGAGGATTTATCTTTCTGGCCTCTAGAGAGCAATCAGAGAAAATGCAAATAACATAGAAGGCTGTTAAATTGGGTTCACGACTCCTGGCTCAGGTAACCCCTCGTAATGATGAGGAAAGAGGGAGGTGTCAGCTGCAGCGTGTACAAAAATCCAAGGAAGGGCTGCATTCTCAGGAGGAAAAATGTAGAACTTGACTGATTTTCAGCCCTCAATGAAATGTGTCTCTAATTTGCTGCAAGTCACTCCTGACTTTTTCGGGCTTGTTTGCTTCTTTAGTAAGTATTACCCTTAAAACTTAAAAAATAATAATAATGAGGGACAAGAAAAAA